CTGAGAAAGGGACGCGAAGCCTCGTCTTTCGACGATCTTTCGAATCCGTTATTTGAATCTGTAAATTCCAGGCTCGACCGTCGTGGTACGCGTACCGTTGCGACTGTTGCCCGCCAAATTAATATTAGGCAACTGTTTCAATATTCTTTAACGCGAGAATAACTAATATAATTGCTCGACCGGTGGAGCTGACGAATCGTGAGGTGAATGTTGTCGGATGAATCGAGTCCGTGTGACTCTTGTCGAAACGAGTACGTGTTTACGAATGACCGTCGAGTTTCGTGTGACGTCGCGCTTCCTCCAAGTTCGCTGAAGGCGTTACCAAAACTCGCCTCGTTATTGGTCATGCCCTGAAGGGGAAGGCAAATTTCTCGGTTTTTCCAAGTGACGCGGAGGTGGAAAACCTTTCCTTCAGGGCGAAGCGGACGCCAAAAAAATATCGCGCACGTGTTCGCGATGCGAGTTGACCGCGACGAATTTTCGAGTCTCCCAACGGTAGGATTTATGGCTGTATCGAACGAAGTTAAATTATAAACTGTCCGTACGAAGGAAATAAAATAATGAAAAATAACGGTACCGTCTGACTCTATAGCCGTCGTTTCGGTCTACGACGGAACAAAAGACGAAGACTCGTGTCTCGGCAAATACGAAGATTCAATTCGGACGACTAGTATAGCTAGAGCTAGTAAATGGCAAAGATCATGCGACAAGTATTAACTTCTAAACACCTGTTGTTATTCCCTCGAGTATCCTCTCTGCGGAAGGCTGGATTATGTTTAAGTGGACTTTACGAAATGCGAATAGAAAGACATAGTAAACTGGAAAAATTTGTTTAGCGAATCGTTTTTCAACGTTCTACTCCCGGACCTGTTAGCGGCGCTGGTTATATCTACGCTGCAAAGTGTCTGGGTTGGATTCCCGATTCGTACAGCTTCCGGCTGCTTTCGCATTTATCGAACGTTCCTTTTGCTCGTATACCCTTCGTTTCGTGTTTGCGAACCAGACCGCACCAATCTTTCTCTTTCGTCGTTCAGCTGTGGCTAATGCTAATTACAATGTCATCGTTTACAGCGTTCCCGAATAATATCAACGTGTTCGTTATTACTACGTTATTATCGTTATCGATCGTTCGTCGGGTTCAACTTTATCGTTATTTCCTCGCGTTCCGTTAATCAGCGCGTCCATGCGTATGTATAGTTATTTATATATTTATAATTACATTTATATGTATATTCTCAATTAGAGCTATATCTTTTTATATCTATGTTACGTCTAAGTCATCGTTACGAGCTTGGTCATATGCTTGCTTTTACGACGCTAAAGAGTTTTGTAAGTTTGAAGATTTCGACTTCCGCTGCTCACACGCGTATACAGATATACAATCGCGCGCGCGCAAAACTGAATAACATTTTCCTAGCCAACCCTCGACAGTCGATCCCTTTCATTCATTCCTTCCATCTCGCGATAAATTCTTTCCACGTTCGCTCGGCCACGCGTCCTCCGATTCGTTCGAACGTTCTCTCTTTCTCCATCTCTGGCCTCTGTCTCTGTCCTCTGTTTCACTCTCGACATCGATACAAACGCATTTCGGGGCTACGAAATTGTCTGTCGACGCGGCGACGGTATCCTCGATCTGGCTAGATCTTCTTTGGATTTATCACAGAAAAACATTTTTTTACTAATATTCCATCGCATTCGCGCGTACGTCTCCAACACTTTCGCGTTCGCGTCCCCGTTACTTTAAAACGATCCACTCCCCTTGCGATTTGATGCATTAACTGACGAACTTCTGTTGTAATTTGAACCTGAACTAAACAGGAAAGATTTCTTCACGGAAAAGAAAAATAGTCAGGACGCGCGAACGAAAGCAAAAGCGTTAGAAGAATCGTTTCCTTCGTAGAGTGTAAGCCATGGCGTAACCGAGCATCTTACTTTTTCTCATTCATACTTCTGTTTCTCTTCTTCGTTTTTTTTTTTTTGTTTGTTTTTACTATACTTATGATGAAATACGATTGAGTTTATAAAGCACTTAAGGGAAAAAACCACGCTCAGCACCGATTGCACTTCATGAAACGGGCATTCGCGAGATTCTCGGTGCTCTTGCCCCTCCCCCCCCCCCCTCCGACAAGCCCGATCGTTTCGACATCTTTCTCATATTGTATTCAGGTTTTATTTTTCTTACTGTAACGGCACTTCTTTTCGGCGCTTTACAGTAGTTACGTATCCCATCACACGAGCTTTCTGTTCGCGAACACGACTAGGTAAAGAGTATATCGTACGAACCCCGGTGAAGAAACGAACGAAAAGTAATTTTACAGCCAATGGAAATGAAAACGTGTCCGATCGCCGAGAACCTCGATTCACAAACGAACATTCGCGTATTGTCGACAGGTGTGTCTTAATCTTTGCCCCTTTGCTATCGTTCTCTTGTTCTCCCCTATCGTACGAGTTTGACGCTTACTATTAATTTAACGATACCTCTAGTCGCACATATTCTCGTTTCTATTTTGTATTTCAGTCGAAATCCACGCACGCAGATTACGCAGGCAAGCGTGAAGTGGTATTGAAAAATGATTAATCGTCGTCGAGATCGCATTATCGAGACACCCACGCATTCACGCCACTCGCATTCCCGATCGCGCTACCTTTTGCACCTTTTCAACGCATTTATGTACATCTACCTACGCATAGATGTGTATTTATACGCGCTGCGAAAAAAAGACGTATGTATGGTACTTCCACTATTTCTTTTTCTTCTCCTTTATATACATTTATGTATGTTCGTGTGTGTTTACCGCTTAAAACACCCCCGTACGATTGGCAGTATGTTACAAGTGTTTTCCTTGAAATCTTTGTCTTCTCTATAATTACATAATTCCGATTCGGCTATGCGCGCGTTTATTTAGCGATCAGTTTTTACGTCTTTTTATATACGTGACATATGTATACGTTATGCGTGTGTGTATGTTTATGATCGTTTCTTGCGACTATTTAAGCGCGCCACGAATTCGAAATAACGTTCCGTCGTTTGCTCCCGTGGCTGTGCACTTGCCGTGTGCATGCGTGTACGTGTGTGTGTATCGATTGATCGATGCCTCTCCGCATTGTTCCGATGAGTGACTTCGTTCACCTTGACCGTACAATTATAATGGTAGTAACAACAGTAGTAGCAATGGTTGTAATTGTTAATAAAACGTTTCGGTAATCGTAGCGTTAGTAAAAGTAGTTAATAATAATACTATTAGTAACAGTAATCGTAGGTAATAGTAGTTGTAGTTTAGTAGTAGTAGCAGCGGTAGTAATAGTAGTAGTAGTAGTGGTGGTGGTTGTGGGGGTAGTAGTAGTAATAGTAGTAGTAGTAGTAGTAATAGTAGTAGTTGTAGTAATAGTAGTAGTAGTAGTAATAGTAGTAGTAGTAGTAGTAGTAGTAATAGTAGTAGTAATAGTAGTAATAGTAGTAATAGTAGTAATAGTAGTAGTAGTAGTAGTAGTAGTAATAGTAACAGTAGTAGCAGCAGCAGCGATAGTAGAGGTGTTGTGGTGGCGATGGTGGTGTTGTTTTGGTGGTGTTGTTTTAGTGATCGTAATAGTAATCGTAACAATGGTAGTAGTAGTTGCAGTATTAAATATTAGTAAGAGTAGTGTAGCGGTAGTATCGATGCCGGTAGTAAGTAGTGGTAGTCAACTGTAGTAGTAATAGTAATAGCGTTAGTAGTGGTAGTAATTAATAGTAGTAGCCGTAGTTATTACTAGTAGCGGTAATAACAGTAGTGGAATAGTTGTTTCTCGTAGGTGTGATAGTAACGGTAGTAGCAGCGATGGTAAATGCTTTAATTCAAAATTATGAGGTAATTTACAAGTGCTCGTGAATTCTCTCCTCTATCCGTTATGTTCGTTATCATTTTGCGTTTTCATTCGTACAAGAACGTAAATTTCGGCCCTTTGCGTCGTAACTTTGTCTTGTTTCGTCGCACCTTGCACCCGTTGTCCGTCGTGCGTGGTCCTCTATTCCGTTGTTCTTGATGCTTCTGGTTGGCACGAGCTGCGAGAATGCGGAACAACGATACCGCGATCGTTCTTATCGTTAGCGTTCGTTTTTTTTCTTTTTGTTGTTCCTTCACGAACAAAGTTGATCGTTCACTGGCCGTTCGATGCGCGCGTGTCTATTTTTTCCGTTTAATCGCGACCGGGATGAAGCAGCCAGTAGCGGCAGCAGATAACGAATACTTCTTACGATACAAGAGGAACGGTTCTAGTAAAAATTCCTACGTATTTAGTTCGATGTATCGATCGACACGCACCAAAGATATCGAGAGACTCGCAGTACGATTGTTGAAAGTTACCCCCCTTGATTCTCGAATCGACTTACTTTGATAATTTTATATTTCTCTTCCGCGATCCAGACGGTTCAGAGGGCAAAATACAACGGCGGCTTTCGAAACTCTTTCGTGAAAGAGAAGAAAAAGAGAAGAAACAACGTTACACCGTTACATGAACCACGACTACTCTAAATTCGCGTAACCGGGATTTTCGTGGCGTCGTTCGTGAAGAGAAACATTTCGCGTATTCGTACTCGCCTCCCGATCCTCGCTATAGTTTCGTCGATATCGTTTGCACGTCGATTCGTTAACGTGCGAGTTTTCACGAACTTCGAGAAGATCGACGGTAATTTCGTTTAGCTGTTTCTGAAATCGAACGCTACTATAACTCTATCGGCAACTGTGATCCGAGGTGAGAGCAAACGAACCTGGTGCAAACGTTAACGACGAGCGGACTTTGTTGTGGCGGAACCTCGACGCATCGAGCGGTGCCCCTTCTGTTCTATACAATTCTCGCGCAATTCGCAATTTGCAATTCGCACCCGTAACACGTTATTCGTCAGAGAAGATTCGTTTTCGCTTGTCAGTCCTGTCTGTTCGCATCGAGAATTCCTCTGACGAATCAAAGCGATCAAGAAGGGACCACCATTCCGGACGAGATTTATCGTTTCCAACGTGGTGGGGCGTTCTGGTGTCGTCGACGAAACCCTCCGGGCTATTGAAATCTTGTTGGTTCCGTGACGACACGGAGAGAGGGCGTCGCGCGTTCCCGCGTGACGACGAGCAGCTCGGTATCATAGAATCGGCAGGTCCGCACGAAAATAGAATCCGAAGCAGACGCTCGACCGTTGAATTGTATAAAAAGTGGATCCTCCTCGGCTCGGTCCGTCGATTAAAAAGCACAGCGGAGGAAGCTTCGAAGTTCGAGACGAAAAGAAGAAGTATCGCGTGAAAGTAGGGAAAAGTTTCGTAGCATCCGGCGCTGTACATTCGACACTGTGATTTTTGACGAGGCCACCGCAACGAGTAGCGGCGTTCGTCGGTGTCCGTTCCTCGTATGAACGTTCGAGTCGACGCGACGTTTCGATCGTCGTTGTCACGGCACACCGTCCTCGTCGATGTTGCCGCGACGATTATTCGTTATACGTGCGTTTCGTTTGGTTGTCCCTGTAACGATCATCCGATGTTGCTCTCGTTTCGGTCGCGTATTCTCGTATGAACTCTCGATCTCCGGACGTTCGTCGTCTATCTCCTCTCTGCCGTCCCTCGAGAATCGTTTCTCCGGACGAATCTCCGGACACTGCTTGGTGACTTCGAGGCGCGGTACCTTGTCCTCCGCCCTGTTCCTATGTCCTTCTGTCTCGCGAGATCCAGTCGCGTACACCTTTCGTTTAGACACGTGGAACTCAGACTTCTGACTCGGAACCGACCAAGTTCCCGAGCTCCAATCTGGTCGATCGGCATTCACCGCTCCCGTATTCGCGGCTCGATTGATGCGCCTTCCGTTACGGAAGATTCACGCGCAAACCCAAAGACGCCTGGGGGCGTCCACGTCACCGGACCACCGTCCAGGGTCCCACTTTGGCTAGCACCAGTCGTCCTCGTCGCTGTCCGAGTGTCTCGACCTGTTTCAGAAAAATCGACGAACGTTAATCGAAATTTTGTACGCTTGTTTGTTCGGTGGGATACGTGGATCGAACGATACTCGCCTGGGCGTCCTCTGTTTGGCCTGCGGCTGCGGCTTATAACCGTTCGGCACAGGACTCGGCAATAGACGACCTCCACGGCCCATCGCCACGGCTTGCTCGAAGCTCAGAGGACAGTGGCTCGGCGGCGGTTGCATCCCTGGCACGTGTCCAGGCGGTGGGTGCTGCACGCCAGGTGGGATCGGCACGTGTGGGCCGAGCATGTGGGGTCCGTGAGTCGGCGAGGCGTTCAACTTCGGGAAGTTTATGTTAGCCGGCTTGAGCTGCAAGGTCGAGGGCTTGTTCGGTGTCGGTGGCAGCCGACGACGGTGTTCCCTTCTCGTCACCAGTACCGGATAGCTGTGCTGATGGGGATGATGACGATGATAATGCTGGTGCGAATGCGCGGGCTGACGACCGCCGATGGGACTCGGGCTTCTCGAACGTTGCTCCAAGCTGGTCGTCCCGTAGTGACGGCCTCGTTCGATGTGATGAATTGGACTGGGTGTCCTCGCAGGACTCGTCGACGCGCTCCACGGACCTGACGAAAATCCACGTTAGCGGGTGTTCGCTGTCACCTCTACTCTCCTACGGTAAACTGGGATGCCGAGAACGGTAGGGATAATACGCTTACGAACAAGTCGAATTGCCGTTGTTTCTATCTACGACTAGCTATCGCGTCGTTGAACGTAGGAATGTTCAAACCGTAGATTAATCGAGTTTGAGAGTCACGGGACAGTTAAATCGACAGTTTCCTTCGATCGGCATGCTGGGACGATTCGAATCGGTTCGAAGAGATATCGAGAACGGTGTGCATTAAGTCGCATGCCATTTATCTATAGATACGATACTTCTATGAGCGCAATGTTATTGGGAAACCGTAGGAGGGCGTGCAGTTTCTACCGGCAAACGGGTGGCCAAATTCTTGCTACGCTATACTCTCTACTCTACTTGCCCGGGAAGGGAAGGGAAGTGAAGTACATTTGTCCTACGTGTGCGTGTTCCAAGTTGTGCGAGTGCGCTCGGATCCGACAATCAGAAGCGTGTATCTATCCCCCGTGCACAGTGAGTGTCGCGACGATCGGACAGATGTTAAAACATAGAAATAAGCATCGTTGCGCGGGTCTTGTCGCTCGCTGGACCAGCCAGAGTGTCTGAGCGATAGACAAGACTCTGTTCCCTGGTTCGGTTCGGCCGTGTTTCTGACTTGTGTGGTGGGTAGAAAATGATAAAAGAACACGAGAGAAGAACGGTGAAAGCGAAACGATCGTAGTTGAACGATAAGAATAAAATTGCTTCGGAAACAGGGAATCAAACGGAGTTGCGAAAGAAATTACCATCGTCGTAATAGTCGCAGTGGTCGTAATAGTCTTTGTAGGCGCATAACAGAACAAAACGAAGAAACGTATTACATCGAGTGACACAGAGCCGCTGCCTTTTGCGAGTAAAAAACCATTTATAGCGACATTCATGTTCTCGCGAGTCGTAACCACGAATCCCTTTCTCGAAGCTACTCACGTCGGGTCACAGGGTAGACCTCGAGAAGATTCTTCGCCGTCGAACGAAAGGGATTCGAGGTTCGCATTTGCTCGAGAAAGGACTATTTGTTGCACCGTGTTTTTCGTCGTTGATATTATCGTTGCGATCCTATACCTCTCATCCTGTGCCGATGATTGTACTGTGACGCCTGAGGATGATGGGTGTGTCTCTGAAGCTCGACGACGTTGCTAACCGTGTCGCTGAATCCTGGTCCTTCGTGGTGATAGTAAGCGTGATGATCGTGCCTAGTTCGCCGCGGCGATTGCGACTCGTGCACAACCGGCGAGTGTCTTCTGCGGATAGAAAGGAGTTACAGCGAATCGATCGATCGTCTCGTACAATTAATCGCCGTGATTTACCTTAAGCTCGGTGAACGCGAAGCGTGTCTAGCTGGATGGGCGGGCGGATGAAGTCTCTCGCCGGCGTGAGTGAGACTCTCGAGGCTGCCGGCTCGCGAGTCGCTGACTACGACGTCTTGAAGCTCCATCTAAACGAACAGACTCGTCGGTTAGGGAAACCGTCCGGACGACAAGGGGAATCAGGAGTTTAAGGAGAGTCGGGGTGTCGCCGGTTCTTTGCCTTCGTTTACTAACGAATCGCGCCTCGAACACAAAGATGTTTCTCGACTCGAGACGCCTTTTGCCTCCGAAACGCGAACGCCCGCGCAAGCTTTCAACAATCGAGATCCATTGGATTACAATTCGGTTTTCATCAACACGATAATCGAATGTTAGAAAAAAAGAAAAGAAAGAAGAAACGTGTCGTATTCGGTGGAAGTTGGCGCGGGGTTTCGTCGTGGTTCTTCGTTCTATCTTTTCTTCCGACGAACGATAGACAATCTCGAAGATGTGAAGAACGATCAGCGAAACGGAGGAGAGTAGACGGTATACAGGCACATGTGCGCGCGTGTATATAAGGCATGCAGTTAAAAATAGTTTCGGGCATGCGCATGCTCTGCTTAGTGGTCTTCTTTTCAGGGTGATTAGGGCGAGAGAAGATAATAGTGTGCGATGGACCTTCGAGTCGAGACTCGGTCCAGAGGTGTTGGTTACTTACCGGGATACGGACATACATGGAATTACGACAAACAACGAGAGAAACGGAGAACGAGGCACTCGCCGGTAAACACGAGTGCTTCGTTGCTCTCGAGAATAATCTCAAGGCTGAAAGCAGCTAGGGACAAGGGTGGGGTTTCTCTAACACCGATGTCGGACAAACGGTTCACTAACAATTAGAATATCGTATGGAGGTTATAATGAGGTGGTGGTGGTGGTGTTATCTACGTGGCTCGCTAAACGCGATCGATTCTAATCGTTGTATATTTACAGAGATACGCTAACATTTAACGTGTGTTCAAGATCGACCCGTGGCTCGAAGAAGCTAAAATTTTTCATTCAAAAATCAACAAATCGAACAACGGTTAAACGACATGGACGAGCATACGAGTCGATCTTGTAATACATACTTGTGGTACTTCTCGTCTATGACTCGACCGGTCGCGAAAGAAAAACGTGATCTTCTCGAATGTTCCCAGTCCGAAATCTATGCATCTAATTGTAAGTCTACCCTAATGTAGTGTCGTGTGAAAGAAAACGTTTCAGCCGATCTAATGAAACCAAAAAGGTGTTCTGAACTCCCGTCTATCGGGAATTTATCTCGTGTCTCGCAAACACTAATCTACCGATGTCTTTTGTTCGAGTCCGCCTATTCATCGACACTAATCGCGACGCGTCGATTAAACAGCGATCTAATCGGCGATCGATCTAAATCTAAAGAAAGCGTGTCGTCACATTCAGACTCTAATTGAAAGTTACAAACGGTGTAACGATCGACTACTAACGATACGTAAGAAAATCTCTACCGCGATCTAAAGAGGCGCGGCTCGAGCATCTCGACGCTCGACGCTCTAAGCAAGTACCATATCCGTTCTTCTATCGATATCGCGGTAGGATTGTTAATTGAATCGAGCCAAGAGACCTTGTGATAACGGATCGAGGAGCGAGGTGCGTAGGTATTCTGGTGTTGATAATACGAGGGTGGTCGGTGAGCATGATGATGATGGTGATGGTGATGGTGATGGTGGTGGTGGTGGTGGTGATGGTCATAGTATAGATCTTTGTCGGTATCGTAGTATTGGTCGTGATGGTGATGGTGGTAGTAGTAGTTTTGATCCTGCTGGGAGGGCACCTCAGCCAGCAATGGCTCTAGCTCGGGGGCGCGATCCTCGTCATTAACTACGGGTACAACCCCAGACCCACCCCCTCCCTGGCTACTCTCTCCGCTGCTGCCTAGTATATCGTACTGGTGGGACATCTTCCAGTTCACCTTTTTATTTCTGAAAGAAAAATACGTCCGTTAGCGCGTCAGCCTTCCACTTCCAAGCTTCATTTCCACGTTGTTCCCCCTCCATGTTCGTAATTCGTAATCGTAAATCCGTATCGTATACCTGATGCTACGTTGACGTCTGTGCTCGGCGGCTGCGAGGACCCCGAGGGTCCCTTCGTCTTCCTCCCTGAGCTCCTTCTGTTGATCGTGCTTCGTGTCCGGTGTCGGCCGTACCACCGGCTCGAGGCTGTTCGCCCTACTTCCGCTCCCGTGACTATTTCCGGCGTGATTCACGGCCGTCACGTCCAGTATGCAGTTGAGGAAGGCCGATTGCTAAAGTCGAACGTGCGAAACCACACCGGCTATCAGAGCTGGTCGACACTTTCTCTTTCTTTCTACGGTATTGGTTTTCTGTTTTCGTCGATCGACGTACAGACGATCGTTCGATCCCCGAACCAATTCATATTAATCGTACAGTATGTACAGGCACATACAGGCTTTTGCGTTATCCTTTCCTCGTTTTACCTTCTCTCTGTTGCGTGCTTTTGCAAACCTCACGATTCGACGAGTAAATCGGAGATAAACAGACAGAGATTCCTTTTACGAGCATAAAAAAAGAGGTCATGCCGTATAAAAAGAGTAATCGTTGAAAGTATGTGCACTTGAAAGTGTCGTTAGAGCTCGTCGCCGTTTGGTGTCGGCGACGAGGTAAGTATCGCGGTTCCAGATCTGTGTGTGCGAATACATAGAATATCGAAAAAATCGTAATATATAAACTATGAACAGTGAAATGCTTGCGAATCATTTGGTTTCCTCGCGCGACGGTGGATTACACTCCATCAAAGCCTGTATATGTTTGTCAAAATATCTATAGATCTTACACGTACAAATGTTAGTTTAATGGTATTATTCATTTGGTCGGTGTATTACGAGTGAACGGAAAATTACCATGTACAATCGGAAACAATGATTTACGCGTCACGTATACGGCACTGTGGGAATGCAAACGTTAGTAAGCATGCAACAAAGTATAATATGTATATTAAACACGAATCGTCGATGTTCCCCGCTACGACTTCCGGTATCGTCCGGAGGAACTTGGACGATTCGTGATCGTTTCGTTAAGATTACCAATACACATATGCGAACAAATCGTGGACAAAAACATAGTACTCAAGCCATCACAACGAACAAACGTGACGAGGGAGCTACTTGGGGAGCTAACGTTTCGGTACATCGGTATAGTATACACACATGGATGGTCGCAAGTGTACGTTTTAATGGGTTTACCAACATGCCTACGTACGCCACACTTGGCTACGATTCATCCATCGTCAACAGTACTATCAACTCCGAATACTTTTGAATACGAACGAATGTACGAAAAAAAAAAAAAGTGTTTGCAACACTTTGTCTACTGCTACAGAGATACTCTTTTCAAGCACGAGGAAGGCTTTCTCATGGAAGTCCCTTCGTTCCTTGATGCGCAACGAGTAGAATTTACCGGGTTTGGACGAAAGGGATACTTTTCCCCCTGTATGCTTGCGCAGGAATATTGTATATATATATATATACAAGATCGTCCTTCGCCCGGCAAATAATTATCGTTGACGCAGAAAAACATTTGGTTGTTCACGGCACTGTTTCTTTCAAGAAAAATGGTTCGTCGCCGAGTCTTCCGTAGAACGACTCGTATGTTATTCTAACTACTTCTTGTTGTTCTGTCGTGTTGTCTGCGTGTCACAGAGTAACCGGATGTCGGGTGTACTTTGTAGAAAGAAAAATGGTGTCTGAGAGGTAAGCCATCGTGGGGGAGAACTAATGTAGCTAGGCAACCAGGGTCTACGTAGAGGGTACTCGATCAAACTCTTCTAGAAAGTAATTTCTACGCTACGTGGCGATAGTGGTGGTGGTAGTGGTGATCTTTAAAGAGTGTAACAGACAAGAGAAAAGGAAAGGAGAAACATTCAAATCGAACTAGCAGAAACGTCGAAAATCTAACTCGAGGAACGCACAACGAACCGATACGCGTTCTCGTTTTCACGCGCACCTTCGCGATCGAAAGTGTGTTCCTCGATGCGACTACGGTGATGTAAAGAGGTCGTTTTGAAAATATTAAAGAACAAATAAAAAATACAAAAGAAAATGGCAAAAAAGACAAACAGTCGTAGCAAAATCTCGTAATCAAGACTCGAGTCAACGTTCCCAAGGTATCAAACGGAAATGGATCGCTAATATTCGATCTAAGATCGACTATGTTGGAAACTAATGATCTAAGAATCTAAGAGGTGTAAGATACGCGCTCGGATATCTATCGATCTAAGAGAAGATCAACTGGCAATGGGCAATGACTAAACCGTGACTAACGGAGTGACACTCGAGGCAAAAGGCGAGGCGAGCTATGTTCGAGGATCGGTGATCATTGGTGTTTCTTCTTTACCGAGCTAACTCGTTCTATGAGGTTCGTTGGACAAGGTAACTTACTTGCGTACAGCTATATCGTGTTCTCGGGGACAAAGAGCCGATTCACACGTGGGCGCACGTGCGAACGACACCCACGTGACACCGACACGACGACTAAAAAAAAAAAATTTGAAAACGTCGTTCGATTTTATGCATCGTCTTGCTCGGTGCCCAGTGGAATCCACGGGAATGTTTCACGAATACGTATCTGCGTCGGGTCCGTTCGTTCTGGACGATGCATAAAACCGGGCGCGGTTCAACTAGTAGTTCAAGTATTATCCTAGACTAATTGCTTGTTATCTGAAGAGGAAAACGTGCTGTTAGATAGGAAATTCTTTTAAGGAGAAAACTAAAGTTTCTATGAGCTCTATATAATATGTCAAGTGCCTAAGAAGACGAAAATATTTCGAGCGTGTGATTGTGGTTTTATTTGGAACGCAACCGCGGTTGATTCGCTCGCGTTACACGTTTTCCTGTTGTTCCGGGAACTTTGCGTTTCCCTGCTATTCCAGTCTCGGAGTGTTCGACGAGCAAAATTTTCCGTCGCGCAACGACAACCGCCGTTGCGTCGTCGTACATCGGTCTCTGTGTGGTTCGGTGACAGTACGAGAAATTAAGGAGACAATCAAAAGGTGTACGATGTGAAAGGAACGTACGGAAGTCGAACGAAATGGTACGTGTGTAACGAGTGTCTGATAACAGTGTGCCGTGTGTCGATGCATAGAAAAAAGAAAGTGTACAAGATCGAAACAGTAGCAGAGATACAACTGCCGATTTCTAGTTGGTAAAATGTCTAATATGTACAGATTCGATCGATTAACAGATCATTCGGACGGATATACTTTATACGTGTACGGTACACGACGGGGCTACTGTGTCTCTGCACGAATTAGTGATTAAGTTAAATGGAAAGAAGAAAAAAATGAACATGAACGGTATTATGTACAGAACAAAGTAAACCGTTCTCTGCGTAGGATTCGATCTCGAATCGATCTCGTCTTCGTTTCGATCGGATTCAACGAGTCTGTTTTAAATTGTTCGCGCTTGCCACGCAACCGACCGTGCCGTCCTGCGCAGTGAACGTTCGAACGTGTAAAAAACATGTGTCGATATAAATCAAACGTGATTGTACGAAGAGAAACGAAAGGAAAAAATGAAAACTGTATTAGGATGATAATAAGTAAGAGAAAAAGTTAAGTACTACCGCCTGGGCTGCAGGACTTTGCCCAGCATTATCGTTATCGATAAGATCGTTATCGTTCTGGAAAACAAAGAGAAAAGACACAAAGAGATGATTGAGAGCTGCGTGAACATCCTCTTGTCTGGGTATACAAATACACAAATAAAAGTAGTATAAATAATCTGTAGTTAATAAATCGACTTTAAATTACTCCTACACTAATATCACGATAATAACAATAACCATAATAATCACAATAATCACAATAACCACAACTGTAATTCTATTCTCCGGTAATTCATAGGTTCAAACCTCGTTGTCCTACACTCTTTCTATGACTCTTTAGTGGAAACACGTAATCAATTCAAAACACAGATTCTTCTCTAATGTGCTAATCGTAACTCATTCAAAACTTATATTGTCCTAATTTTCTAGAAGTGGTTCGTATTCGTGTCGATATATCGTGTGCTACGAGGAATTCTAGTTCGATAACAACCGATCGTGGTCTTGGCCATTGAATTTTTCGCAAAAGTATCGCTCTTCCTGGAAAGAATACAGCGAGGGAGGATAGCAAACGATGTATCGACTGAAAACAATCTACGTTAATCAGTTGCATGAAATTTTAATCGTGACGTTCAGGAGGGGTGACATCGACTGCGTCTACACATATTGAGTCGGCTAATTCAACTTAACGGACAGAGATTGAACGTCTTGTTTGTACGAAAGTATATCAGTTAACTAATCGTACCGGTTCGTTGTCCCAGCGGGACGATCGGGTTTCGATGAATTTTTTTGCGATCGCAGAAATGTTTATGGATATGTTTCGAAAACGATCAAGATGCTGGGACAAGAAACACGGCTGATAACCTTGGTGTTACTCGTTACTCGTTCGAATACCACCTGAATCTCGGAAAATTCTCTGCACTACTGAGCACACAGTAATATAGCGTCAGAACGTTGGGACTCGGGAAGGAAGCTTAGAATCGTGGCTAGTTTCCGAAAGATTTTCGTTGCAACGTTTTTTTTATAAATTTCGTTCTTTTAGAGTTTCACTTCTCGCGTCCCGAGTCGATGATATTGAACGTTCAGTTCTCCAAACCATCGAATCGGCAACGTTCGGCACTGTGATACTAAGCTTTCGTGGGTAGTCAAGAAGCTACTTGGAATCTTTGGATATATTCTATTTGAAATGTGGTTTTTCACATCGGCCATGTGAAATCGTATCACGAAAAAGCCAACGACAAAAACATCCATTCGGACTCAATCCTCGGCCGGTTCCCACGAGCGTCTTTCGAGTCGTTCTACTCTGTATCGATTTGGAAAATAATTTTTCTATTTAACAGTTTATTTTTCTCAAGTATCGACGAGCAACGGTTGGCGAAACAGCGAGCCGTCCGACGAATCGTGGAAACGCGACATAGAGGTTTCTCGTCTGAATAGGGACATATCGCCTAGAGTCTTTAATTTTTGTACGAGTGACACTCGAATCGTAATTGACGAGACACTCACCTGTCCGGTCGACTCTATCTGACCAAACCTGGTCGTCCTCCAACTTTCGAGTATCAGAAGGCAGACGTATATCTTACCAACGGTCAGCTTATCTCTGCCTAGTTCTAAAACGAAACGAAATGTAATTTCCGTTCGAACAGACGATGCGTGGATCGTGAGATTCGTACCTTCGCTCCTGGGTATCAAAAGGTCCAACATCTTTTTCGCCTGCAGAGGCCAGATACTTCTGATCGCGTCTCTCAGTTCTTCGTTCGCCTGCTTCATTTCGTTCGCTGTAAAAAGCAACAGGTACCAAAATGATGCATACAGTTGCAATTCCAGTCTCGCAAAAAACTGTCCACTTACCGCGTCTCATTTTTATGCTAAGATTCTCACGAATCAGGGCGAACAGCGTGGTGGTGAAGTTCACTTTTCCGTCGACGTCCACCGGCATGTTCATCCTGATCAGCTTCTTGTAGGCGAGCCTGTTCGGGCACTTGTTACCAAACCCCAAAGGCGGATCCATGTTCTTGAGCATATCGTACATCTCGGTGTAATGGATCTTGCCGGTCGCGTTCGGATCGTACTCGGCCCAGATCCTCACGAACTCGTCCAAATGATGGGCGCCCAGGATCGACGAGTCTCTCGTGAGATAATCGAAGTTGTCCATGATTACGGCGACGAACAGATTCAGCATGAGGAACGAACAGAAGAAGATGAACGAGACGAAGTAAGCGTACGCGATGTTCGAGCCACAGCCGCCTGGCTCCTGTTTGCCGGCCTTCACGTCGCACGGTCGACCCTTGATGCAGGACAGCATGATGTTCGGCCAAGCCTCGCCGGTCGCGCATCTGAGAATATATCGTTCTGTTAATTGTCCGATCACGATTCTTCCGGACGTTTACAATTTCCAATTCGTTCAAACGAATCGGCTAAAGAAACTTCGATCTCCGGCGATTCCGGATGTTCGTTCTTTCTTTTCACTCGATAAATATCTTTTTATCGATTTAGCATTAATTCTCACGAGAGCTTCAAGAATCGTCGGAGAATCTTCTCCAAAGAGCATGCAAAAAGTCTGAATTCGAAGCGTGGCACGCTTACAACTTCTATAAATCTTACTTCCGCGCCTCGCGGACTACTATGGACCTCGTTAATTCCAAGTGCTAAGAGGATGTTTTAGATACGGAATCAGATCTGTCTCGAGAACGCATATCATGCACGAGTAACTGATTCGTCGTAATCGAATGCAACACCAAAAGCGATAACTGGCTGTGGGTAAAGCAGGCCATACGCCTCGGTAGGACTACCTCATGAGTCCAGACCTCGAGGTAAACCTCACCGTGTGAGGCCTGCTTAACTTAATTCTCTACTCGGTTCGTCTACTGCGTGTTAGCTCGTTCTACATACATATACGTAGTAATCAGGTGGCATTTTGCCTATTTCTGTTAGTGTGTCAGTATTATCGTACGGTGTTATAATATCATCACCTCGATCGATGAACATCGATAATCGACGAACGAACGAACGAACGAACGAACGAAACTGAAAAGTCTTGACTCGCGAGTGATGCGGAAGCTGTGCTCTTTTCCTTGCATAATTGCTCGGTGACGAAAAACGAAACGGGAAACAAAGGAAAAAAAAAAAACAGCCTTCTTGTGATCGTAGTTCCTTGTGTGTTACTTACCGAAAAAGCAACATCAGACCTTGAATGAAGCTTTGGAAATTGTTGTGCTTGGTAATAGAACTCTCGGGATCCAGCGCGATGTTACCGAATACCTTGAGACCGAGAAAAAGAAAGGGGCCGTGGCCAAATGGCACGCGCCGTATTAGCAACGAGTAATGGAACTTGTGGATTATTGATTATTTAAAAAAAAAAAAAAAATAGAAAAAACAAGATGCGATCCATGTCCTTGCGGAAATCGTATCGCGAACCTGACCTGATCGAGGAAATCTACTTGAGTACAAGTACAAGATCTCGTATGGTTGTTCGGTTCCTACGACGACGTGACGACAACGTTCAAAGTAAACGTTCGAGTGTACGCAGTGATAGTGTATGGTCGATCTACCCTCTAATAATACGCACATACCACATTAATTATGATCTAGGCAACTTCTTACTCTCTGGTTCGATCGATACACGAGTACCTCGAGAGAATCGTTCGGTCCATTAAGGGGTCATGTTCGGTTAGAAATTTTCAAAAAATCGATTTTTCACTTTCTACGTTTTCTTTAAGTACATCTCGAGAATATTCTGTGTAAGTTACAAGGTAATCCAATTAAAAATGACAGAGTTACAGGCGTTACAAAATGATCATTTTATATAAGTGTAAGCTTGACTTGAAACTTTAATTTCAGATGAACCGTTACGAAGTTACAGTGATCACTTTTTGGCAGACCACTTTTTGTGAAGAGACGTCCGAGAGATCGCTCACCGTTTATTTACTAATAAATACTTTTTAAATAAAAAAATTACCTTATAATCGAGAAACTGCAATCTTTGAAATACAAACATATTTTTTGAAAAAGGTCTTATAGTTTTTGAGAAAAAAATTCCCAAAGAACACTCTTTTTTCGGCCTCCTGACTGAGCATGACCCCTTATCGACCCCGTATCGATACCACGCTGCCTGATTCTTCGAGCGTTCTCGTTATACCGTGGGACTTTCCGTTCTCTCGAGTACACCGCTGTAACGCGATCAACTTCAAACAATCTAGGACAAGCATCTCTATGGAACAACTGTCTATGGGATGTCTAATCTGCGGGGTTCAGTTACAACAGACTGACACGTCGAGCAGCTTTTACTTCTCGTTAAACCTCATGCCAACAGCCCAAAACTCTACCAACAATCGTTACTCGCTACCGATCGTTCATGTTCGGTTCCACATTTTGTGGGAGGAATGGGAGGGGGGGGGGGGACGAAACTGTTTCGTTTTACGGATCGGTAGCCGTCTCGTAGGTAGGCACAACGTTAACGATTTCACTTTACCCCAATTGCGTATCGAACCTGCTGCGTTTAGCTGCTCGACTCACCGAAAAAGCAACATAAGACCGGCGAAGAAGGACTGAAAGTTGTTGTGATCATCGATCGCTGTCCCTGGATCGTTCGATATATTTCCAAAGACCTGACAACGGAATTCCATAGATCACTAATCGCCAGTATAACAACCGCGAGACTCGTTTAACAATTCTCGTTCCTGTGAACTATATATCGTTTGTCTTCTCGACACCATTGAAAATGATCGTTTCGGTATGATTGTCGGTTCGAAAATATTCAATTTCGCGAAACACGACCGACAAGGAATCGTTTGTCTATCCTCTCGTCGTCGAGTCGGGATCGCGGCAACGACAAAATTTGAACGTGGTACTCTCCTAGGGTGCGCTACGTACCTGCATACCGATGATAGCGTAGATGAAAAACAGCATCGCGATGAGGAGACAAACGTAAGGCAGAGCCTGCAAACAGAATAAACCATCGAGTTGATTCACCGTGTACAAATTCGTCGAAACTTTTGAGTTTCTTTTTTTTCATGCCTGAACGGATCCCAGCTTACTTTAAAGGATTGTACAAAGGTCCAGAGTAAAATTCGTATCGTGTAACCCTGCCTGAGTAGTTTGATCAGCCTGGCGGCACGGAACAGCCTCAGGAATCCGACGTTGATAAAGTTCTCCTGTAGGGGACAAAGGAAATTGCACTTAACCCCCAAAAAATTGCCGATTCCTTATCTCGATTCAGGCTTGGCTCCGTGCGTGTAACGTTACGTACTTCCTTAGGTCGCGAGTTCGAGGGTTCGCGCGTTCGGTCCCTCGAACGTGCTCGGAAACCGTCTCGGTGCACGAACGAAGCTATAAAACACTTTGGGATCTTCCTGTAATTTTCAACGACAATGCCCTCAATCTTCCCCATCCCACCGTTCCAATCAGCTGCAAGTATTTCATAGCATTCCATTTCATCTACGTACGCGAGAATATGAAAATTTGATCGAGACACCCGAGTATCGCGATTGGACGCGTACCTGTTACCGCGTCGTTCGTTAAACCTTAAACCCATTTGCTTGGAAATACCGGATCGTGCGTTAATACCGCATCCATATGCCATTCGAGGTTCGTTTGTCCTCATGTATACGCGCGCAAAAGTGTGGAACAAGTATATCTATGTATGTAGGTATTATCGTGTCGAGAGTATTTAATATATATGTATATGTATGAATACCTCGTGTATCTTGTAGGTAATGGTCGTGTAGCAACGAAGAACGAACAACCGTCGACGGTTTCGATCGATTCTCGCGAAGTTTCGCGGACGTTCGCGACGTCGACGAACGGATACGATCTGGTAATCGTGCGCGGTCGTTCGTCTTTCGGAGAATAATCGTGTATGTCGTGCGTCATACGTCGTACGTCGTGAGTCGTAATCGGTATTAGTCGTAAAATATCATACCATTTTCTCCGATGAATAACCGTCACTTACGTCTACGGTGCGAATGTGACGAAATTTATACCTTTTTTTCGCCTAGCTGGCCGCCACTGGGCATACTCGAAAACCGCTCCTATTACAAGAAAACACGATATTGCTAGATTATTGAATCGATCGGGACGGCACGCACACCGATCTCTTAATATGCGAATACGTATAGAGAGCAAAACTAGCGTTGACGTACAATTAAACGAACGAAGCCGTCTGGCGTCGAAACTGCTTGCAAAAAACACAGTCTTACGTACGCGGAAGCTTTGGATAGATCGCTTTGGCTTACCTTAACGTCCAAACGTAAGTTAGCCAACGATATACGTACGTATGTATGTACATTATGTATCTTTAATATCTGCCGGCTTCGGCAACCTACTAGGAGTACAAGCGGTTTAAGGGTGAACTCGACTCGATAGTCTCGTAGCGGCATCGACGTACAACTATATACAGGGTGTAACAAAAATGTTGTCCGACCCGGAAATGGGGCATTCGGGGTGTGAATTGGAACAAGTTTTTCTTTAGCAATAATGTAATCCGAGGCTTCGTTACCCAGATATTAACGAAAAACCCCGACCAATCAGAGCGCGAGTTTGCCAGCTGTTTTTTTCGTTAATATTTCGTTAATGAAGTCTCGGATAACATTGTTGCTAAGGAAAAACTTGTTCCAATTCATTCCCCGAGTGCCCCATTTCCCGGTCGGACGACATTTTTGTTACACCCTGTATAATATCGGACTTTTTACTGGAGCTCAATTACGGCAATATATGGAAGTGGCACGATATTTTACTTCGGATCTTAAATATACTTCTACTACAGAGGAACAAAGATATACTTGATGGGTATAAGTGCTGTAGTTACGTCGATCGTTCAAACGGTCCAATTTCTTACTAGACGAAATAAGAACCGTTCGAAAGGAAAAGGCACGAAGTCCATTAGAAATTCCGGCCAAGATTCTACACGTTTATTTTTTTCTCTCGAATAACTAACGAGACGGCCAGATTCTCTCGAGCTGAGCTTTCGGCGTTTACCTTCGAACGTTTCTTTTCGTGATGTTGCATGTATGCTGCGAACACTGTAGTGATCGTGTACTGTGCAAACGTGGCAATGTACAGTGTGGGTGTGTAGCGTATGAATGCAGTATAAAGCTACGTATAAATACATGAGAACTGTAGGGGTTCGAATAATATTTTCGATTCGTCTGCTAGCGTGTCATATACATTACATGTATAGATACAGATACTGTAGATGTAAATTGATACACTTCTGCTGTAACTAACGAAGCAGCAAAGGTGTCAAAGAAAAGACAACACTCGAAATGTACAATCAAGCAACACTGGTGGGCGACACAGTAGAACGGGAAATCGGAGGTATCTCGGGTTTCTTCGATCAAGTTAAACGGTAATCTGGATATTGTGTGCTACGTTTTATCTCGTAAACTACATACTTGTCGTTCCGAACATTTACTCGTCTGCGAATCACGACGGTAGTTGCTCAAGCTGTACGTACCCCGAATTCGATCACGAGGGCGTCCACGATGCTGCCGATCACCGTGATGAAGTCGAACGTGTTCCAGGCGTCCTTGAAGAAGTTCTAGATCGCGAAGGATTGAAAAAAGAAATCGATTAGAAAACGGTCGCAAGATCGATCCTGCCTGACGTCCCTTCGAATTTTGCTCGAAAACATTGCCACCTACATACACTACCGACCACAAGTATGGGACCAGGTCTGGTGATTAAAAAAGGAGAAAAATATTATTCTAGTAAGATTTGATAAAAGTAATACGCTAAAACTGATTGGAAATGATTTGTGTATGTACTGTCCCGTGGAAATAAATATTATTATTATTATTATTATACCGTTCCATCAATTATGAACTACGAACCCATACTCTTGACCGGTAGTGTAGGTAATCCGTAAACGTTCGACTCTGCACGATGTTCCGACGAGGCGTTCGAGCGAACTTCGAAGGGCAACCATGTGTGTAAAAGATGTCTGCTAACTAACGCTAAAGAACAAACTACGAGTCGAGTTTGCGAAAGAAGAAGGAAAGCTCGTGTCCCGCGTGCGGGTTCCGATCTTTCCCCGTGAGTGTGTCGTGTGTTTGCGTGTACTGTGTATCTCTGCGTGTCCAGTGTGCTAAAATGTATGGTAAAATGTGTATGTGTGTGTGTGTGTGTGTGTGTGAGTACGCACCGTTGTACGAACGGAAATGTTGATTACGAGTAAACGAAAGTAATGCGAAGATTCGTGCTTTGAAACGGTGTGTATCGAGAGTAGCAAAGGCCATATCTCTTCGTTGCTCGAGTGTGTCTCGCGATCGTGAACGATTGCGGAGAAAAAAACAGTTCAGTAAACGTCTAGAGCAAAAGTATATATGGAGGAGACTCACGGATATCTAAACTGTTGCGTTCAACGTTATCGGTAGAGCTTGTCACACACAGAATATACAGTTACTACGTACACGTACGTGTAATCTCTACGGTACGGCTGGGGAGAGTACGCGAGAAGCTGTCGCGTTGACGAAAGAACGAAACACCAGGAGTATCTACACATCTACATTTGTCTATTTCATTTCTTCCCGGCCGAGCAGTCGGAGATGCTGGAACAATCTGGCAGGCAGGGTCTCTGTCGAGAGGGTCTCGAGGTGATTACGAGATACCCGAGTCGCGCGTATTTTGCTGATCGATGATCGGCCGAAGTAGAAGCGACGGTATCTCCTCTAAAGAAGTATATGTACATCTACGGGAGCATGCCGGTAATAGCGAGCAAACTAGACGGGGACGGGGGGGGGGGAAGGAGACACGGTTATTCACGGGGAAGCTCTACTTTTCATCATCATCATCATCATCATCATCATCATCTTCCTCGGCCAAAGGGACAGGAAAGAGGTCGCCTCCCTCGAACGATTCAGAATATGCGAGCGAGTAAGAGTATCGGCGTGAACAATCTCGGCTTTATCCCAGCTTCTCGGTACTATCGCCACCCTGCTCTAGCTACATACTCTAGATAGAGAGACGGATTCAAAAGTATATGTATGTATGTATACCGCGACACGGACTTTCGCTCGCGAAAGAGTACGCACGCGTGAAAACAAGAGGTAAAGTGTTTGCGGAGGACAGGTGTCTTGAAGTAAGCGGTCTCGATCATTTCTTGGTCGATAAAATACGAAGCAACTATTCTTTATCGGCAAGCGTTTAAACCGGGATCGAAATCGTATAGTTCTACCATTACAAGACGAACGTTTTCGTACGGAGGGGTTACACGAGGACGAAAATGTTTGCAGAGTCCAGCGATTAAATCTCGTTTGCCCGTTTTCTCTCTGAAACAGATCAAAGAACATAGGGGGATCGTACTTTCCCAATTGTTTCCCAATGCTTGATCCGTTTTTCGCGCGTTTTAAATGTCGAATCGCGGAACGCAAAGCTTAGACGTTTCGTTCTCGATCGCGACATTGTGGCTTTTTTTCCGGATCCGCTTGCTATTATGATTGCTCGCGAATTATCGCTTGAAACCCGTAACGCGAACAATGACCCATCGGGTAAGAGGTAGAAAGGTGAAAAAAAAAAAAAAAAAAAAAAAAAAAAAAAAAAGGGAAGAACGTAAAATTAGTAGACTCTATCCTATGTAATACAGTTGCGTGTGATTGAAGTTAGAGTGGAGTGAGTGATTAAGAGGCTTTTTCTATACCTTGCATCCGAAGGCGACGAGTTTAAGGATGCACTCAATGAGGAAAAGGAGGGTGACGATCAAGTTCACGACGGTCAAGGTGTCCAATAGAGTCGGCGGCGCCTCGTGATACTACAAAATACACCCAACACACAAACGTAACACAAGCCAAGATTCGGCATCGTTGCCCGCACTACTGCGTTCGTCTCTAGAATCATATCTATTCTTTAAGCTACGATCGATTTCGATCGATTATTATCGTTACGAGAAAAATCAAACTTTCGAACACGTTTTAAGGGGGGAGTTTGGTGTAAACGGAAAATGAACGAATTTTTGGGAATTTATTGCGAAGAAAGTATTAAACCAATCTCTTTATCGAACCCCCTTAATTGAACTACGATCGCGCGAAACCTCGACGACTTCACCGAATTTCGCAAACTTCCTAGACGAGCTGTTTCTTCGATATCGCGTCGATCGTTGCTATATTACTTTACCCTCGTTATTCCATTTTTTTTTCTTTCGTTCCGCGGGACGGATCGCGCAAACTTTCTTCCCGTCGAACTTCTTTCGGATAACAGTGGTTCGTGTAAATAACACAGCGGACAAGCTCGAAGCGACGAAAGAAAGTTTACTCGATTCGCCCGACCAGCTTCGAATTCGTCTTCGCCAACGGGGTTACTTCGTCAACTTTCCGGCGCGTTTGCGTTCTTCGTATTCTTCGCGGAAACCTCGACGATACCTCGTCCCCGAAACACCGAGAACGAAAGGGAAACGGATCGCAGACAGGCATTTAATTTAACACGCGTGTTTGTTTGCTCGTCGAGCGAAATCGATCGGGGAAGATATTATACATCGAATAGTCGTCGCAGTTGTTTCGTTTTCGACGAATTTTCGGCGTTTAGGTGGTTCGACGATTAGGCGTTCCCTTCTTTCCACCGAGGAACAGTTCGAAGTCGGAGCAATCCGTTCACCCCCCCCAAACTATCCACCGAACGAGTCTAACCGATCTTCAACGCCGTTTCTGCGCGCGAAACGGTGCTCGATCCTTGCGTGTGTGTACGTGTGGCGAGTTTGTGTGATTGTGGAATTAATAACCGGCCTTTTTCGGCGATGATAGAACTGCATGCGTGTGGCGGGAAAACGGAAGCTCTCGGGATTTCCGTACTTCGTCGTGTCCGAAAATCGACGGACCTTCGGCTCTGCGTTTCGTCGACGACGATCCCTGCTCGGAATTCCGGCAGCGAACATCGAAACGCGACCGGAATGCTAATCTTTGTTAGTTCATAACACGCAATCGGATGCAACAACATGTAAATCCCTCGCGATGCGCTTCGATCGTTCCCTGGATTCTCTTTCTTCTTCTTTATTGCATGACTGAACGAACGGACTGTCTTCCAGTCGCGGAATCACGAAGAGAATCCAAGAAGTATCGATGCACGACGCAAGAGCCGCGGTGTACGCATGCAAGGATAAAAAAAAAACCATTATCAACGTGCAGTGATCACGTGCGGATGCAACAAGACGGAGAGCATGCACGGGGGGTTTCGTGGGTTGCTTGTGTATCGTCCTTGCTGGCGGATTTGCTTCCTAGAGGCGGCGATTCCCCCTGTTCCACGGATCCTCGTGGGAGTAAATATGTTCGGAAACGAAAGGAAAAAAGAGCCAGAAAACGATGACAGAGAAAAAGATCGAACGGAAAATAACCGACGTAACAGTGTTGACGCTTCGTTTTCATTTCGTGTCTGATGGGTACTGATGATCGGTGTGATTTAGTGTTGCGTTGTGCGTGTGTACGTGTGTTGCGTAGATCGACTAGAATACTTCTGGAAGCTAGCCCAACAGCGAAGCACGGTTTTCTTATTATTAAATTTACTATAATTTTTAATATTTAAATTATCACCTTCTTCGCGTTTGAGCTCGCTTCCGTTCTCGTTAGAGGTATGGCCGTGATCAAATCAGATTCTACGAATTTCGAGAAGTTCGGACCGTTTCGCGACTGTGGTACCGAACCTCCTCCGGAGTCTCGTGTCGAATCAAAAGCTTCCGAGTGCGACGAAGATATCACCAGGCCGTGAATGAAGCGACGTTCGTATAATTACGAATTTCATTTAACGTTGTTAAGATTCTTCTGGGCTTGTTTGGCGGCCTGGTCGGTGTCTTCGTTGATCGAGGAATGCGCGTGTATGTACGCGCATCTCGTTCGAGTCGTGTATAGAGCCGAGCGCGTCCGGTGGAGTCAGTTCGTTGATTCGAATCACGAGAAAAACGTTCGATTGTCCCTTTGTCGAAACGAATCGGCGACGTTTCGAAATAACATTTCCGCGAAATCAGGTTACCAGAAGGAACGAGAAGCAACAAAAGTAAAAATGCTGGAGCGTCCATGTCTGGACACAAAAGGTTTTCCAACGATAAAGTAAAACCCGCTTATGCATACACGTATATACTCGCGCATTCGCGTATCTTTAGGATACAAGGATGTTTCCGTGTTCTTGAGTCGACAAGATACCGGTCTTTAAACGAAAAAGGAATAACGCTCTAATTTTTTTTTTTTTTTTTTTTTTTTTTTTAAAAAGAAAAATTTAATTGATACCGCGACGATTTTCTTTCTATAGAATTTCTTCGATGTTCACGTCGGGCTCGTCGATCCTTACTCGAGGAGAATCGGCCGACGGAACTGATAGGATTCGAGCGTCGCGGTATCAGTTTCCGGTCGAGAACCGGCTCGAAACCGTCGCAAGCTCCAGCCGGCCGGTCTCTAAGCGCGTAGGTATACGGTTTCTCGATAATCTGTTTCGATGAGGGATTTGTTGGCATAGTGGAGCTTACCCTCACGCCGAAAGCGGCGATCTTCAGTATGCACTCGACGGTGAACATCCCCGTGAAGCACATGTTCATGTACTTCAGCGTGTTCTTGTACGCGTCGCTTTGCCGATGGAACTGCAATGCATACACTGACAAACACACGGCCGACAGAGACAGACAAACATACGTACAAGCGTATAAGGATCGCGTGTGTTCTCGCGGACGCGGACACGGACGCGACAGTAACGATGACGGTGACGTGCGATGCGTCACTGCGATCTCACCTTTCTCCCGCGTAATCCCGGTATGGAAAAAGGGAAAAGTTCGCTCTCCCTGTCGCTAGCTGCGATCGTCAATTGAATTTAACTCGAACAATAGGATCGCTGTCAAGAAAACAACGCGTATGTTGAAGGTGTTTCGTCGACCAACGGTCGCCAGAAAGATCCAAGTAACTGGTCCGTTGATGGTCAGACGTGTTTAACACTAGAACTATCAAACCAGTCAAAATGACTGGTCGATACACTTTTATAACGACGATTAAAATGTTATGACAATACATTTTCTCCGATCTTTTGCACCTTTTATTACGATATAAGAGTGAAGAAATTAATCAATTTCTAAATTTTCAAAAGTTTCCCACGTTTATCCAGCGATCGAAGCAAATATGCGATTATCGTCGGTAGTTCTAGTGTTAATCGAAACGGGAAGCCTTCTTTCTTTCGCGGCGCGACACCCTGTACATACGATACGCATAAAATACAGCGTAAAAATCTGTAAGTTATATTACGTGTCTATATAGGTATACATATCTACTATTATAGAGCGGCGGCTTTTAGTCGACAGAGAAAGAGAGATAGAGGGGGGAGAAATAGAGAGGGGAGAGAGAAAGGGGATCCACATACATAGGTGTATAATATTAGCGTTAACCTAGATACGTGTATCTGTACGACCCTACCGGGTGTGTACGGCGTAACGATGACATTAAAGAGATTGTTTTCTCTTTTATATTGCCAGGGTGAGTGAGGACGGCTTTACAGAGTACTGTACATTACGTGTTGCTGGTGTGTGTACTAGGGGTTACACCAGTACGGCCATATGGCACGACCGACACGCGTTCTCGACTCGATGAGATCGCGTCGAACGATAATTGGATGTTCGTACTGGTGTAACCGACTATCCACTATCGATCAAAGGGTTCGAACGTAGGTTGAACAGAGTCTGACGCGCGATCATCGAGTAGCTGGAACGTTCGTTCAGCTTCTCGATGGTTCACGCCGGGATCGGTTTTTTGGGTGGATAGATATATATATATATATATATGAAAGAGTTTGGTGTATGGAGCAGTACGAGTCGCGAGAAACGAGAGGAAGAGCGACTAATCGCTACGGCAAATGAACGGTGAAAGGAAACGAAAAGGTGAAGAACCAAAAAAAGGAATCAAGATCACCCGAATGGTAGCGAGCTAACGAACTGGATGGTTAAAAGAAAAAAAATTAATAAGGTGGAGATTCGTAATGCATGTCCTCGCCGTGAGGCAACGATACGCGTTCCTCCGTTTTCGATTTTTTTTTTTCATCTCGACGTTGGTCGAGTCGTTGGTGTAAAACGAAAACAAACACACACACACATTCAGTGGATGAGTCAGTCTCGTGTCAATTGGCTCGAACTCGGTCCAGCCGAGTCGTTGCGCCGTTTTGCGAGCAGCCAGCATGCGAGGCGTTGGTATACGTGAACCTGCATACATATATATGTTTTGTGCCGGCACGCGATTGGTGCAAACGCGATATTTTCGCACGATGCGTGTGTGTTAGGAACATTTACGTGCCTTCGAACAAAGAGACCAAGACCTCGTGACTCGCGAACCATCAACACTGACCGTAACGTGACTTTTATACAGGCTGTCCCAAAATAACTTCGACTTCTGGAAATGAGGGGTTCCTGGGATGATTTGAAACAACTTTTTCCTTGGCGAAAAAGGCGTTCCAAATCATCCCAGAAACCCCTCTTTTCTGGGAGTCGAAGTTATTTTGGGACACCCTGTATACCAACTTGTACCGTAATTAAAACCGCTCATTTGACCAGCGATCGGTACGGTTAGTGTTAAACATCCATCGGTTCGACCGTGTAAACAAAAAAATCTTTGATGGAACGAGTGTCTAGTCTCTTTCTCCTTCGACGGACATTCAAACATCTCGTGTGCCACCCATGTTGTGCGTTCCATTCTCAAGATCTTGTGCAAGTACGTGTGTACGAGTGATTCGGTAACATTCCTTGCGTCCACAGGCAATACGTGTGTCGGGCAATGAAATGAAACAAAAAAACGAACAAGATAAAATAACGAACGTCGCGCGTGTCGCAGCGCGATACAGCAATTGTGTGTACTACTCGGGCGGATCGATCGATCGAATCGCGAAGCATGGTGAATCAAGCTGTTTCTCGGTCCCGATCCTGTCTCTACGATCGGACAAGTCAGAGCGTACTGGTCTCGTTAGGGATACGGTTTCGGCCAGCCCTTTGTGCGTTTGCAGCCATCGCGAAAGTGAAGAAAAGAGAGAAAAGGAAGAAATAGATTGATAGATAGATAGATAGAGAGAGCAAAGGTCGAAAAAAAGAGTGCTTTAAAACAGGTGGACTCGCGTGCAGGGCTCTCGTATGCCAAAGAGCATTTTTCTTTTCTCCTTTATTCGGCTGTGTTCGTTTCACGTCGAAACGTCGATTGGATCAAGCCAGTCGTTTGTGCAACGCCTCTCGAACCCCGCCACCAGTTCAAACATGGGCTTGTCGAGGCGTACGAGTCGGACGCATTTCGTGTGTATGTGTGTGTTTATGCGACTATGGGAGCGGAACGATGCTCGATAATCGTTCCTTCCGCGGGTCCTTCGAGTAGTCTAATATCGAAACGAGGACACAGCAGCGGCCATGCAATGAGAGAGGGGACGGGAGGAATAGAGAAGACACCGATGGGTGGAAAATTAAACGACCAAACACACAAGATGAACGTAAAGGATTACAGAACGGAAATGTAACACCATCGAAAGCGAAAGAAAAATGTATGGTCAAACCTCGAGAGAAATAAGCGCGATCGAGTGCCGATACTATACGATACCAGGATCGAGGCACTCGCGCACGTTCAACGTAAAAATAAAGCGTCACGATTCGGGAACGAAAGAAGGAGCAGAGAATAGAAAAAGCATCGAGATATGAATCACGACGGATTCGAAACGACGAAACAAGGAGAGAAGACAGAAGGACCTTTGGGGCTGGTTTTCAGAGGGGTGGTTAAGGATACAAGAGTTTTCAACACAGCTGTGTACACGTACCAATGGATATACAAGGATGACAATTATACAGAGAGCGATAAATAAATTGGCAGGCAAGAACAACAATGTCCTCGTACAGATATAACGTGATATCTTACAGTCAGTTCGAACACTCCTATGTGCACGTTTGTCGAACACCACGTATTCACGTCGACGATCTCGTTAATTCCCGCGATCGGCGACTTTGGGCTGCATTTGGATTGGTTTAAACTGTTGTCCGAAACGCGAACGTATCTGGACGAAAGGTGCGAGGAGAGTCGATCGCGCGCATCAATCGAGGGGGTAATGGGGGGAGTAGAAACGTTATCCGGAGGGCACGAAAGTCGAGCACGGAAACCGGACGATCGACTCGAATGGAATTTCTTCCATCGGCCGGTCGCTCGCGTCTAATGCCTCGCGAACGGTATTCGAAGTCGAGACGCCGACGAAGAAACTCCGTGTTTCTGTCTTCGCGACGATATCGGTTGGAGGGGGGAAACGAATCGTGGACACTTACCTTCATCATGAGTAGTAAAGTGTTTAATACGATGAGACCCATGATAAAATATTCGAACGGCGTCGATACCACTATCCTCCATATTTTGTACTTTACGCTGTTGCGCTCTTTCGGCATGTACCTTTCCAGCGGTCGAGCTTGTATCGTGAAGTCTATGCAAGATTTCTGGAACGGAACAGCAAGCGATTAATCGTAGATTCGATCGCGGTTCTTCGATCCTCTAGACAACGAACCAACCTGATTCTTGTCGATTTCGCCGTCTTGCAGTTCGGCCTCTCCTTGCTCCTGGAACGTGATGATAATCAAGGCCACGAAGATGTTGACGAAGAAGAATGGAAAGACGATGAAGTAGACGATGTAGAAAATGGACATCTCTATACGAAAATTCTGGATGGGACCCTTGTCCTCGTACGTGGCCGCCATCGAGTTCTGCAGGATCTGCGGCCAACCCTCGCCGGTCTGCACCGCGAACAACGTTAGCATCGCGGCCATCACGTTGTCGTAGTGAAAACACTGTGTATGCCATTCGCGTTTCTTCGGTTCCGGCAGCATGGCGCCCTCTTCGAAAACGAAATATTGACCCCTGCGAGGACACATCGAATTACCGTGAGAGACGTCCAAACCGTTCGATTTATCCCTTGCCCTATAACATCGTGTCAGACTCGTGTTCACGATTTTAAAATTGATTCAACAAAGAAGAATATTATTCGGTTTTCTTTGAGTCGAAGTGAAATGCCACGTTGCTGGTGTTAATATTTCACTTTTACAGTAAAAGTACAGTTGCGATAAGTACAGAACTCCTTTCGTTTATGTAAATACTGTAATCTCGGAGTCTGCAGACGTCAAGAAAATCGTAGGGCAAGGGGTTAATAATTAATAAACAGAGAACTCAAGGATGTGTCGTTCGTCGTGGATACGGACCGTCGAAGAGAAGCAGAAGAAGGTAAGGACAGTACCAAGGATTAGAATACTCACTGGCAATCCTGTTCCGTATACTTGCTCTCGTCAGTGCAGTAGAAGAACTTGCCGTTGAACAGCTGCACCGCGATTACAGCGAAAATGAATTGGAACAATATATACACTATGAGAATGTTAATGACGTTTTTCAGACTGTTCACCACGCAGTCGAAGACCGCCTTCAGCTTCGGCACCCTTTTAATCGTTTTTAACGGCCTGAGCACTCGAAGCACTCTCAGCGACTTGATCGTCGAGAGATTCTGTCCGGCGGAACTACCGGTCATGTTGAAGGCGAACGAAACCGCGGCGCATATCACCACCACTGCGTCCATAATGTTCCAGAACTCGCGCAGATACGAGCCCGGGTGAAGTATGATGCCGAGATCGATGATCTTCAGTATCATCTCGACGGTGAAGACACCGGTGAACGCGTAGTCGAAATAATTCAGAACCTCGTTCCTCGGCGAGTCCTCCCAAACGGGATCTTCGGCGGCTAACGCGATACTCGACAACGATATCACCACCATTATGAAGAAGTCGAAGTACCTCAGGTTGACGACCCAATGGGCGGCCCTTCGTATGCTGCGAAACGAAATCGACATTAAGTCACTCTGCTGCACTTTTCAGAACCAATCGTCGAACGTGATTCTCGATGGGTCGATCGAGACTTACGGATTCGTAGGGGACAGTATAAACATGGAGGAGTATGGCAGCATTGGTTTTGGTCCCGTGTCATCTTCTTCATCCTGCTTCTTCTCTTCGGACGACTGTTTCCCACCTTTTCCGTCTTTGCTGAAATCACAATAACGAATCAATCGATTACCTTGCTCTTTCCCCGGTTTAGCACAACAGTAGGTACTCACAAATTCTGGTTCGGACTCGGAGGGCAGATTTCCACTTTGGGCGCGTTACCGTCTTTGGGCTTCTGCAGGGACTCGATTTCCTTTTCGAGTTCCTGAGCCTGCTTCTCCTTGTCCTCGACTTGCTGCTCGTCCTCGGCGGCGCTCAGCTCCTGTGCGTTCGCCAGATTGTCGACGGCGATAGCCAAGAACACGTTCAGCAGCGTGTAGTTGCCGAAGAGCACCAGCACGATGAAGTAGAGCGAGTACACCATGCCCCTCCTGTGACCACCTTGCGACTCGATACCCTGGTACATCACTTCGTTCCAATCTTCTCCGGTCAGGATCTGTCGTTCAATAAAAGTCATCGTTAAACGAATTTCTATTGTTCGCTCAGTATCGATTGTTACTTCTACTTCGATCTCGTTTTTTCGTTATTCTACCTCGACTCGAAGAAAAGACCAAGTCACGTGTCCTCTTTTCTTCGTATGCTAGAGCACAGACGAGATATAAGGATAGACCTAACATGCAATGTAATTTTCTGTCCCATGCTTCGGGGAGTCAGAAACTCCCGTACCGTTTCAGAATTTCATTCCGCGATTTTCATGGGTCACCAAGTCCCGTAAGATGTCAGGCCTATTCTGATATCTCGTTTGTGGCTAGAGCTACGGCTCGTCGAATCGTTAACGCATAGAGAACAGAGGCAGAGCTTACCTGGAAGACAGTGAGCAGCGCGATGGGAAAGGTGTTGAAGTTCGTGGGCGGCGTGCCGTAATCGAAATTGAATTGGCCACCGAACAGCTGCATGCCGAGCAGCGCGAATATGAGAATGAAGAGGAAGAGCAGGAAGAGCAGGGAGATGATGCTACGCATCGAGTTGAGCAGCGATATTACGAGGTTCCTCAGGCTCTTCCAGTATTTGGTGACCTTAAAAATTCGCAGGAGTCTAAGGGCACGTAGGACGGAGAGACCGAATGATCCGGACTTCAACGCGGACCAGATCACTTCGAAGATCGATCCCGAGATGACGACGCAGTCGAAACGATTGAAGCTCGAGTCGAAGTATGTGCGAGGGCCGAGCGCGTACACTTTAATGAACATTTCCATCATGAACAGCGCCAGGAACACGAACTCCGCAAAGTCTGCGAACGATACAGAACGAATCGAAACGGTTTATTTCGATGACATTCGATTACATCAGTGAACACGATCGACGTATCGTACTCACAGAGAAAATCGGTAAGCCACTGCGGCTGACCGTAATGCTCGACGGCTACGCACACGGTGTTGAAGAACACAAGAACGATAACGAACCAGTAGAACTTCTGCGATTTCACGGACTTTCGGATCCAAAACCTGAACCTCATCTCCGCCCGCCAGAATTGCGCGCAGGTACCTTTGTCCTCCACCCTCGACTTGATGTAGGATGATCTCGAGTACCCTGTAAACCACAAACGAATCGTTTTAACGACCGATCAGCGAGCGTAATCGTCGGGCCGTTGTTCCGCGATGCCAGTCGATCGATCGTGTATATATCTTCGATCAAATTTTCGAATTTCGAACTGGTTCGCCGTAGTCGTTCCGCGTAACCATGATCGTACTGCGTTTTCGAATCTTTCCTTCGCGATACCGATTACCGTCCGATTCGACTGGGAGATCCGCGATGATCTCTGGTTCATCGTTCGCGATATCGGTATACAGACATAGAACAGAGACGAATCTATTATCTAAGCGGTATTCTAATAAGCGGGTGGTTCTGTGTATGGATCGGCGATGCGTGTGGCTAATCTATCGCTAGTCGTGTGAGTACTTCGACCGAATCTGTCTGTCTGTCTGTCGGTCGTTGTCTATGGGGACGGGACCTATTTCTGGGACGACTAGTTTTCGGTCGAGTCGATTATCTCGTTTCACGTTTCTAATTGTTCTACGATATTCGGACGAGAACTCGTCGTTACATCAACTACGACAATGTCTATACACGCTGGATACAATAATCGGTACTCCGTGGTACCGTGGGCCTAAAGACACATGGACACTCAATTTTCGCCCGGAGCGTTCGCTGCACGTCGTCGACACGTATCACGCGTGACCGTTTTCCAACTAGACGTTATTTTAACGATCCCCCCGTTTCTCCCGCGCGAATGCTCACGGGCGATTTGATAAAGACGACACAGACATATATGTATATACACGAGTGTACAGCAACATCAGCCAACAGAAGCAGCTCCTAAAAGAAACCAAATTAATCGGCGTCTCGATCGTCCACGGAGCTTGCCGCAATTCCTGGACAACACATTGTGGTAAACAATTCTCGAGAGTACAGGAGCGATCTATGATCCCACGACTCTGTTCGAACACGCTTCTATCATGCTCTCTGTGATGCACAGCCTGCGCATTCGAGCGTTACGTACATGTAGTATGTGCACGGATTGTCTTGTAATTTTTACACGGACAGTCCGTGCATGTATGTACTCTAACTACTTGACAATTGTTTCGTCTGGTTGCGCAATGTATGCTCTGCGGCAAAGTCGATTACGCGCCAGCATACCGTCGCAATTTACGCGTGTACGTGTCTGTATTTGTGTTCGTATACGTGTGTGTTCGCGTGTACGAAAGGGCCTCTCAAACGAAAACACAAGGAAACAGTTACGAAGATAAAGTTAGGAATATACACAGACTTGTTTTTGCGTCGCTCTTTGCGAGTTGCTGCATCGACAGTTGTAGTTACCTTTCAGTTTTTTCTTAGGCTCTGAAACAAGAGGAGCATCTGATAGTGGGGATCGTCGTCAGGTACTGGGGAATCGAATCGTTCTCTTTCCGATCGGAAATAGATATTAAAAGTGGAAGAAATAGATATTAGCAATTGGTTCGGTGGTCCCGCGAGCTGTCGTTCAACGTTTTTTATCGGGTCGAATCGAATTGTTCGAATCAAGCGAACAAGAGACTACAAGTAGATGACCGCTCGCGAGACCATGATGTTAGTAAAGATGTCGATGATTATGAAACGCGTAAAACAACCTGTTAATGGCAGGTAAAACGCCGCAAGGAGAATTTCGGAAAGCGATAACGTCGGAAACCGTCGAATCTGGTATCACGTCTGGTAACGCGTCTATCTCGAGATGGGGAACAAAATTTGGGGCTACCTCGAAAGTACGAGCCGAAGAAACAGGACTCACCGTCGTCCTGGTCGTCATCGCCCTCCTCTTCCTCTGTGTCCGTGCTTTTACTTTTCCCAAGGTTCTTCAGTCTCTTCTTTTTGGCCGCGGCTCTTCTTCTTCCTGCAAAGAAAATTACTCGTTTCCGTGGTCGATCGAAATTAGCGGTTCGAGAATAGAGGATTCTTCCGAATCCAATCACGAACCTTCTAATATGTGCAGCTTCTCCTCTTCCGTGGTCCTTTCTTCCGCGAGTATTACCTCCTCTAGAAATCACAGCCATCGTTTAGTCGAAAAATCAACGAGAAACAAATGCGTCGACAACGCGTAAAATTATTGGTCGGCGAAGACTGCCAAGGAAATTCTCTAGCTCGATGGGTCTTGGACACTAGCTTAAAGGGGCTTTGCGATTTTGGCTTTCTAACCTGCTTTGCAGATCCAGTTCAGGTAGCAGATCAGTTCGTGCTCGAGCTGCTGCTGTCTCCGTAATTTCAGGAACGACTGCCGGTTCTCCACCTTCTCTCTCTCCTTTGCAAACTCTCTACAAGCGTTACAGGATCCATGATTGAGCGGTTACACGGCGAATAAAGCTCGTTTTCGAGACGAATAATGCCTCTACCCCCTCCCCCTGGTGCGCGAGACAAAGGCTGCGTACGAAATCTTACTCTAGCGAGCGTTCAGCGGGAACGTACCCTTGCCGTATTGCGCGCGATCATCCGTTCGAGCTATTGCACGGCGGAAGCGTTATCGCGGCTAATAAAAAAAAAAAAAATACGTCGTAGGGGCGAGGGAATTGCTGGCGCTACGTGAAGGGAATACTGGCTTAAGGCCCATTTATATACATCGGGCTTTGTTGGTGCGACGTACCCTCGCTAGCAAACTCAGCTTCCGCTAAAGGAAAAAGTGTCGTTGGAGATGGACCTCTTAAAATTCGGTATCAGGAATTATTGAAATTTATGCCGAATTAACATTCGATTTAATATTTATTTCAGTACTTGAAATAAATTTATCAAGTGGTAGGAGGTTTTTCTCTTACGCCCTTTTTTTCCCCCTAGTGGAAGCCAACTTTGCTCGTGGGCGGACACGGCCTGGAGGAGTATAACGGACGGACCCCGATCGGACACGTCCCGGATGTGTATAAATGGGCCTTAATACTGTGCGTCTCGCGGCGACTGGCCTGTCTATGTATCAAAGTTTTCGCTACTGCTACGCGGCTCGGTTCTCGGTGGGTTTCGTACACCGAGAATCGTCACTCGAAGCGGGGGGAGCGACACAACGGCTACCGGGGCGATAAACTCGGGGAAAGATCGATCGTTTCGAGACCTGCTTGAGTGATCCACTTCAAGTAAGCACTGAACGCAGTCGTGAACAGACGCTTTCTCTTTGCTTTCTGATAAGCCGCCCGCCTCTCGACGCGTGTTCTTTCGTTAGAAAACTCCCTGACGGAAAAGAAAGAAGGATGATGATCCGGTTGTGTTTTCGGTGGGGGGTAAGGAATATCGCGGAAGCCCGGCACGACACGGAGTAGACGCGAGTCGACGAATGGCGTTTCGAAGCGTGGTTTGATCGATTCGTTGGAACGATCTACCGTGATCGAACGTATCGTGGGAAGCTAAACCTAAATTGAAACTATTATCTTCAGCATTGAATTATTACTGTTCCTACAAGAAGGTCCCGCTTACCTGGGACAAAATTGGTAACTATTGTACTAAAGGGCAATGCCCGTTTACACCAATAATAATCATAATAATTGTTCGCCACACTTTGAAACTCCGTCATCGCGAGCGCCCACTGTATCGCGAAGAAGGGTACGGCGTCGAGATCGAGGGAGGGCGCGTGAACATACGACGAGATAGAAGGTCGAGACGAGAGGAACGAATGTACTCACCCGCTCAAAACACCGAGAACTAAGTTCAGCATGAAGAATGAGCCAAGGACGATCAATGGTATAAAGTAAATCCAGTTGTACGTGCTGCCAAGAGCGTCACACACGCACACACACACACACAATCGTAACCGCGTAACGATCGATCATTGAACGCAACGGGTACACAACATTCTACGCGTCAATCTATTATCGATCGCTAGGAGTTCGAATCGTTCATTGTATCGTCGCGGGAAACGGCACTGGTCAACCGATTCGAACGACAGAATGTGGTTCTTTCTACATGTTTACGTATATTTTAATCTCTATACTACTCTAGGTATTATACTATAATTTTGATACTTATATATTGTCTTATACCAGAGGGGTTATTGTCCGTTTAATAAATAGTAATAATAATAATAAAAGGACAATCAAGCTTTCATAGAGCTCGCAGTGACGTTTCTCGTTAAGCGATTCCGGACGCGATCCGTTAAACGCGATCGTATCGACACGTGAAACGTATCGATGATCCTGCACGGAACCAGAGGAGAACCAACGCTCCCGGTCGAGATCGTTCTCTCCGAAAGTATTCGCGGTTCGGTGCTCGTCGGATTCCAGCAGGTTACAGAACGAAGCGTAGAAAGATATAATACGATCAACACCAAGATTTGCAAAGAGGGCTGAAACTGACAGTGTTATACTGAGCAAGGTGAACATATACGTCAGTGTTAGAGCTGTAAACATCTGCAAGCGCTTCTCTTCTTCGTTCCGGCGAACGAAAAAGAAACGGCGGAAGCCAAACTGTTATCGGGCAAACACAGAGAGACAAAGAGAGAGAAAGAGATACATAGAAATAGAAAGAGAGAGAGAGAGAGAGAGAGAGAGAGAGATACAGTGACAAATAAATACGACACATAGAAGGGAATGATCGACAACGAGAAAAAGAACGGTTACGAAACGTGGTTACATTTAGATCGAAAACGTATGGAAAAAGAGTGAATGGGGCAGGCAATCGGAAAAAGGTACGGTATAGAATGACACGGAAAATAGAACATATTCGTCGAATCGACGCTTTCCAAAGTATTTTCGCGGGATTCGAGCGAAACGGTTGAGGTTTGTGCGTCGGGAACGAAGGTTTACCAATAACAAGATACAACCAAGGAGTCGCGAGGTTCGTCGACTCGACGGAACGGTGAAGCGCAAACTTTGAAAATTGCGACATTATCGATCGAAAATTGACATCTAGGGTTCCGTGCTGTTACATCCTTTACTTTCGCGACCATAGTTACTTCTCTATTTGCATTACGTCTAAGTTTCCGTTAAAATAATGTATCTTCAACCGTTCCCGTTCTTGGTACCCAAACAAACCGTGACACAGGTATGCAAGTCTGGACAGCGTGTGCTTCAGAGCACTCTGCACGTGTCAGGATCGAAAAAGAAAGAAAATCCACGACGCGGAACGTAACAGCGCCAAGCACCGGGCCGTGCAGGGCACCACGGGTCGTCTTAAACCGCGGGAACGTAGGAAAACAGAGAGAACTTGTTTCATTGTCAACACTGAAGGACATATTTCTTGCTTTACCCAGTACAATATGGCAGTCCAGCCCTCCATAGTGATACACTGGAAGACAGTGAGCATGGCGAATCCGATGTTGTCGAAGCTGGTGATGCCGAAGTTTGGTCCCTCCCAGTGATCCATGCACGTCGAGACGTTCGCGTCGCACACGTGGGCCCCGAACGGCGCCTCTATTTTGTTGTCCGTGTTACACGGGCTCGGCTGTTCGCCGTCCTTCATGATAAAATCTACAACACAAAACACCGTCAGACCACTTCGCACTCGATCCAACCATCGGGAACTCGATGTCCTTCGTTCGCAATTATTCGCCAATATTATTCTCCTTCGATACCAGAGACCCGATTAATAGAATTTGCACTTTGACAAATAATTGGAACGACAAAATTAACATTTTCGCGCTTAACATAAGTAAATTTAGGTCTCTCTATGATAGGGTAACATAGTTATTTTTATCATTATTAGGTGAAGTACCAATGTATTTTTATATCTAACTGAATTCTATTCTTGTAATTGTTGTATCTCATTTACCGCATTTGATTATTATTGTATTGGTGTGCCGTAACGTTTTAAATCAAATGTTGTAAAAATGGGATCTCACCCGCATGAATTAAATTAAATTAAATTAAATTAAATTATCGACAAATATATCCGTATCTTTCGACGTTTCGACAAATTGATTAACGCTAGTTTCCCCGATGTTCTACTCACTGATATCCCGGATGCTGTAACACGTTTTATGCAGGGTTCCCGAATAAAACTCGAGGCCGATGATGGCGAATATCACGATGGCGAACAGCACCAGCAAGCCGATCTGCAGAAGCGGAGCCATCGCCTTGATAATAGACTTGAGCACCACCTGGAGACCTGTTCGCAGAAAAGTTGGCGAGGAGTAATTAGGCCCTACCACCGCCCTCTCCGAGCGATTCACGCGTCTATCAATCGATCTGTTTTACGTTCTTTCTATCATTGCTCGTTGCTCGGGGAATCGTGCTCGCGGAATAGCGCGCGCTTTTTTTTTCACCCGTTTTCGTGATCGATCGACACCAATCGCGGAATCACCGAGGCTGGACTATCGCCGTCAGTCTCTCTCTATATCGCGAGCAACGTCCTCGACTGGCTTCCTGTGTTCTCACTGTTATTCCCCTTTCTTTACTACATCAATGTCACGGTTATTAACGTGCGATCGCAAACGTTCCAGCGGCCAAACAATTGGGATACTTCGTCGTTACATAGACACAGCATACAGCACTCTCAAAAGATATCTATTTGGGTGGTGCTACATAAACAACATAATCGTTCTAACGTTGCAAGGCATCTACGTGTAGATATATAGATATAGAAATATATAATAATATATATATATATATATATATGTATGTATGGTAATATACTTGCAATAAACTTACTACACTGATCTACGAACTTTAACGTCCGAAACGTGTTCGTCGGTACGCTCGTAAACGAATCCGTGTACGGCCAACCATCGCATCGACGAACGCGAAACGTTCCGAGGAACGGATCCAGTCGATCCACGAAGTATCCGAATTCCAGACGCGGGAAAGTTTCCAAATTGGCCGCGACGCGCGTTCCTCGAGCACCGAACCTTTTCTCTTCTTCTTCTCCTCGCCTTCTCTGTTCTTCACTTTTCTTTTTTTCTCTGATTCCGCGGGAAAAAATCTCTCCGTTCCACATACATACGCATCGAATCGCGTTGCTTCTAACGTAACTACAGTCGATGTCCACAGCAATCAAAACTGAGCTAGCTATTTAAATCACGGCTGGAATTTGACAAACGATTTTTTTACGAAAGATCCCGCGATCTAGACCGCGAATGGGAACGAAAAAAAAAACCCGTTGGACGTGAAAGGAATTCAGGACGAAGAAAAGAAAGAAACGAGAAGAGACGAGGCATTCCCGTTCGATTCTTTCGATCGTTTCGGCTGGATTTGCTGGCCGATTGTATTGAAACGCTACTCACTCGGTATGCCGGAGACAAGTTTGAGCGGTCGCAACACGCGTATCGCACGCAACGTGCGCAGATCCATATCCAGGTCTATGCCTTGCGAGAACGCCGTGATGAACCTGCCCCAAAACACACACACCCCGCCACACTTTACTACTTACTACTCTATTACACTAATACTCACGCTACTTAAGTACTTAAGCTACACAACTATGTGGTTAACTAGCGTTCTATGGCCTAACCCGGAGGAATCGGGAGAGAGAGAGAGAGAGAGAGAGAGAGAGAGAGAGAAAGAGAGAGAGAGAAAGTGAGTCTCTATCGGGGTGAAGCTCGTCGTAGACCGATGTCTTCGGTTCTCTCTGTTCGTTGCATACATCGAAGGACTCGCTTAATTTACTTCTAACATTCTAACTCGACGACGCGACGGTCGGTTTGCGTCTTCTAGGCTAAGTTGGAGGAAACTCGAGGGTAAAAAGCTACGCGAGGGTACGCTCGGAAGGTGTAGACGATTGTATACTCTGCTCTAATTCGAATGATTTGAAACTTTTCAGGACGACTATAACAGCATTCGGTCTACGGTCTAAACAGCATTGGGGGTGAAACCTGAGATTCGCTCGATTCGATCAAAGCGGTGAAAAAGTTATTTCGATTCGATCGTACATACGAATTCGAAGACAAAAGGCTCGAAACTTAGCTCTTGACTGTCGCAGCTTCGGATTAGCTTATCGAATTAGCGCATCGGCGGATTTACCGGTTGAACTGTCTTCGTGAAAGGGCGGTACGGTCTCAAAGGAAACCAATTTGGCTGATTACAGTGAATCCTCGATGTGTGTTCGAAGGCTCCTCGGCAGTGAACATTAAATATTTCTTAAACTAATGACTTATAACTTCACTTATTAAAAAGTCAGCATTAGGGGACCTTGTCAGTGCCGAGGTGCCTTCGAACACTCATCGAGGATTTACTGTATCGAAGGGATCGGTTTCGAGTTACCTAACAAATATCTCTGTATATCGAGACGCATGGATATAGCTACGGATGATACTGGATGATTGCCAATGATTCGTCCAAAACGTGACGAACAAAGCATAAAGAAAACGCGTGTCCGATTACCGACGCGAGATACTAAATATAGGTCTCTATAGGAATACGACATAAATGGCAACTCTAGTTTCCCGAAGGTATCGAAGGTTACGTCTGTCGCGGTCGTCGAACCCCGCCGTTTACTTTTCGGCCCGTATGTGTCTTCCGCGATTGTAAATACACAATGCACTTCCGAAGCTCACGACCATTGTTAAATAATATCTGGACCCTAGAGCCAGAGTGTATTAAGTCCACTTATTGAAAAAAATAATGATTTGCTCTCCCCTAAAGTTCGAAAAGTATAATTTAATACACTCTGCCTCTGGGGTCCAGATATACGTTCTATGAAATGGGACCGCTATTGGACTGGTTGCGCGATGACGGTTGGCCGACTAAAATGACCGTTTCTACTGGGGAAAGTCTATGAATTAAAAACGGAGGGGAACTCGAATAGATGGTGTGAATGATTGAACTTCCGCTTACCAAATTTCCTTCACGGTGTCGATCGAATGAGAGGATCGATTAAAATGTACCTCGTGGGTGGAGAATCCGGTATTCCGATATCGACGGAATTGAAATTCTTCTTTCTCCCGTGTACGATGTAGTCGATCGAAGGAGGGAGAGAGGCTTCGGGGATCGATAGTGAAAGGGAAGCTGATGCAAGAGAGGACACCTCGGCGAGATCTATGATTCCGAGGGACGATGACACGGCATCTCGAGGACGACTAAAGGTACGAATCTCTAGCAAACACGAGCTCGCTCGAATACGTTACTGCTCTAGAACACCTAGTACCTATTTACCAATTTATAGTCAATTCTATCAAACAGTGACTGTAGCTAAAGATAGAGACTGCTAAATATAGAGACACCCGCAGGCCAATAGTCGTGTGTGATCGTTTCGTGTGAAGGTGTACGCGTGGCTTCTGTCGATGATCGCGTTGCAATTATCACAACAGGTAATTGTTTCTGATCCGGAGACGATGGGGCGATTATCATTTACGAGAACAACGTGGTGTCGCCGTTTTCTTTCTCTGTTTCTCGTTTCAAAGTCGATCGCGACGGATGCGCGCGAAATATTTCATCGAGACTGTTCGATCTACCTGTCGCGGGAGAGTACGTGAGTAACGTACGGGAAAAAAATAGAAAAGAATCGACAAGGTAATTTTAAGTCCAAGACGGTACACGTAGTTTTCCGGCGACCGAGAATTCGGAACGCGTCCCCCAAAGTTTTCGTTTCCTAATGAAAAGCCAAAGATTTCCTCGACGATTCGGCGTATCCGTATGCAGGTATTCGTGTATGCTGTCTGGTGTATGTGTGTGTGTGTGTGTATGTTTGATTCCTCGATCTTCGGAAGTCTCTAAATTAAGAACAACGTGTGCATAAAACTGAACATAACGACAGAAGATAGAACAAATAACGCAATTAAACACTAGCCACTAGTTCACGCAAAACCTCTATAGAGGCAGTAGAATATATACGTATATAGATATATATACTGTAATAGACACTCGAATTACGCAAACACGTAGACACAGAATATATATATATGTAACATAATGTAATATAAATATAGATATTATATTTAATATCGATCATCAACTGTCAACGATCATCTAGCGTCAATCAACTGTTCTAATACACCCATAGCCTCTAAATATAGTGGTGGTTAATCAATGAAAAGAAAGTAAAATCAACGGTACGGATTGTTCGAGCGACACGCTCGGTCGGGAAACTAAACGAGGAAACTAAAAGGATAGAGAACTAAGGCGGAGATTAGTACGTTAAAGAGACAGAACGTATAACAGGTCTGTGTGTTAGAAGTATAATAATAAAAGTTAGCTCGATGCTGGTCTCACTCGTCGGAACTAAACGTCGGCCCAATCCGACGTGTCAACTAAAGCAAGAGAGACAGGAGTAAAAGACAGACAGACAAACAGACAGACAGAAAGAGAAACTAAATATGGTCGACGAACTAAGTGTGTCTGATTAATCAAGAAACGTTTATTAACTAAGGAGACTAGTCGAACGCACACAAACTGCCAAGGGAAACAACTGCCAGGGGTGTTAGGGTTAGTTTAGTAATCTGCTGCTCGACTGTTCTCTGTTTACTGGCACTCTGTATACTGTTTACTTATGGCTTTTTGCATCTTTGCCGTTTCGCAGAACTCTGACTGACTCACTTGGAATTTTCGAAACCAGCTTTAGCGGTCTGAGGACCCTGAAGGAACGTAGCATACGCAGGTCGACGTCCACGTTTGTTTCGGCGAACACGGTCATCGACCTAATCCAAGGATTACTCTAGAATCTATCTGCTCGGCCGGAAAAACCGATCGACGCGCTTCCTTATATCTTAAGCCTGCGAGGAGAAAGATCCTTTCCTTGCTCGTCGTTGGATATCATCGATCGTTGTTACTAATCGCGGTCCCTCTTTCGTTGTTTCTTCGTCGTTCGACGGAATGTTATCTGGAATTCTCGCGTAACGAATAAAGACCAACGGACGAGGACGGAAAGGCTTTCTCTCTGAACAGGATATCTCGCGACGAACACGATGTGTCCAGGGTTAAGAGATTGATTACACGATCTCGCGTTAGGTTATTCCCGAAACGATTACGCGGGAAGGGTAACTCGTTAAAAAGTCGATCAGACCTGACCGTAACATTCTCCTCGTCCACTGTTTTCCTCTCCAAACGTCCGCTTTGCTCTCGGGAGTCAACGAAAATGATGTAAACGTGTAAATCGTGTGTAGCTGATCGTTCGGTCGTCACAGCGATGTGTTTTTTTTTTCTTTTTTTACAGTTTTCATTTAATGAAAGGTAGAGAATAAGATAGATAGATAGAGAAAGAGAAATAAAGAGAAAGTGGAAAGAGCAAGAACGCGTTGGTTGTTCGTATGTTCGGAGGTGAAAACGAGGGAGGGAACGAAAGATCGTAAAGTCGTGATCATGAGAGATCGTGATATGAAAAAGATACAGTGACGAATGTTTGGGAGCTTTCGCGAATCGTTACCGAGTCAGAGATCCCCGGTTTTCGGTGTTCGAGTTTGTTGAACCCACGAAGACCGAGAACCCGAATCGCCTGTGGGCCGATGTTAACGAGAACGACTAGGGGCCGGGGGAGGACAATTTTCCGAAAGAGAGGGGCTAAAGGGAGACGCGGTAACAAGAGAAAAATGGTCGTCTCACCCGGTCACCACGACGAAGAAATCCATGATGTTCCAGATGTTGCGCAGATAGGAGCCACGGTGGAGGACGAAGCCAAGGGCGAGGATCTTGAGGCTCGCCTCGACGCAGAAGATCCCGAGGAAATAGATTTCGGTGGCCTCGAGCTTCTGCGCGAGTATGGTCTTGTCGTGCTTGGGCAGGTGTTCCTCGAGAGCGAGGACCACGCAATTGGCGATGATGGTGAGCAGGACGGCGTACTCGAAGGGCGGCCACTCGATTATGAACCGGGTATGCTTCCGGATGCAGTTATCCTCCGAGAGGATGAACAACGACGTGGTGCCCTTGCCGCCTCCCCCACCGCCACCCGCCCCTCCGCCCTGATCCCGGCCTGGCGCCATGTCCACCAGACCAGGTACCTGTTCGCGTTATGCAATCCTCTCGTCAGTCCCGTCCGCTCGACATCGTCTGCTTTACGTTTCTACGGTTCTCCCGCGATCGAGAGAGATAAAAACAGTAACCACGGAGTCGCGATATACAGGGTAGCGCAATAACTATGTCCACTTTGAAAAATGTTATATACAAAACTTACACGGTATAGACGGGGGCATATTGTGACACAAGCATTTTCTGCGTGGGTGAAGGTAGAGAGGAGATAAGTGTACCATTAAGTCATTATTCGATGTGATCAAATTACCTAAGACACCCCGTATATGTTTGTAGGTATAGCTATCCGGCATGCCTCGCAGACGTACCGAATAAACGAGGAAGGAATAATCTCACGAGGGTGGGTGAGCGGCATGGTAAGAGGTATGTACCGCGGGAAGCCGCAATTAACGTATATCTCAGACGAAGCTTTTTCAAGCTCGGCTGGCTCTTACCTCCCCTCCAAAGCTAGTCCAGTCACCGAGACCACTCAGTCCGGCCAACCTCGGCCTTCTCCTGTACTGACTCGCGTATCCAGGGTCCCTTTGTGCCGCCTCGTGCGCTGCCAACCTGGAAAGCACGCAAGATGAAAGGAGTTAGCCGACGAGGAAAACTCAAAGGAGGTTATCGGGAACGCGCGCGTGTAACGGCCGACGGCACACCGTTGCCGCCTAGCGAACGTAATCGATTTCGCAAACACCCCGTGCTCTCGCCGCGTGTGTTTCGCCGGCAAACATGGAAACGAAAACGTTAACGTGTTGTTCTCCACCCGTGCCTGACCATTACGAATCTATCAAAATCCTATCAATAGCGTACCGGTTTCTCGAAACTCTGCGCAACTCGTACTCGGCCAGGTCTTTGTACGATTCTTTCCATACGCTGTCATCTTTCCTCTATAATGTAGGAGCGTTGGAAAAAATGAAAGGGCCCATGCGGGATTCGAACTCACGACCCCCTCCACGGAACCCTCCTATTTTCCAAAGATGTTATTTTCTCCTTTGCTGGGTATGGAGTTCCTGATCCCACAATACTTAGAGGACCATTCGACCGATTTCGAAATCTTTCCCGATAGTTGGAGCATAGAGGGACAGACAGAGTGCTTGTCAATGGCCGACACAAGCGTATAACGCGAATGTTGGGAGTAATTGCATCGCCTCTCCTCGCAGGAAAGTGCAATCAAGCTGACCGGTAATGCAATAATTCGCGACAAGGATCCTGCCGGTGTATCGGTGCGTCTCAGATGCCCCGAGCATCGTCTCATCTAACACGCGACCAGCTTGACAGCTCGTCGAAGTATCGGTGCAAAATTGCGCCCTATTCAGCGGACCTTGATTCTCTATTCAGCTGCGATCAGCGTTCCGCCTTGAAGAATTTAGAACACGTTTACCGAACAGAACGGGATGGAAGGGAAGACGAAAGGGGAAGGGATCGCGAGAACACACGACAGTGCGGCCAACTTTTTCGTAACGTCAAGTGTCGAGGGAAACGTTCGTCGTTGTTACTCCAATTTGAAAATGGATTTAACAATGGATGATAAAAGAACAAGATACATTTTTTCGCTTTCCCTTTTCCTCGTTGTTCTACAAATAAGAAAGAAACCTTTGCCACTGAATTTATACAACGCCCGAAAGAATATATTCTTGATCGATTGCCGTCACATTCCAGATGTTCCAAGAACCCTCTAAAGTGCTCTTTAAATTCCCTTGAGAACGCCGGAGCACAATCTCGATACCTTTCATTCTATAACGAGAGTAATCGGATAATGCATGATTTTTAATGGCGAATAATTCGCTGCCCTGAACAACGTTCCCGTTTCGCGTTGGGAAAACCAATCGAATATTTTTTCGTTCGAGTAACCTCTCTGCTCTTCTTTTTCGCATAGTTTTATTAACGAGTAGTTTCGCTGCTTTCCTCGAATGTTTGCGCACGGCCACCAGGCTTCGATCCACCATGAAATTTAATCGAGGGTCTATCGCGAGTGGAAACGTCTCCGGGGGGTCGTTATTCTTCGGTATTAGTCCGGCTGGAACTGCGTAAACGAGGACACGTCAGCGAACGGGGAACAGGTGAAATTCGTTCGGTCGTCGAAACGGAAAAACAAACTTTGCCCCTGCATTACGGACGGTGCGTCGCGACAACTCGAAATCGCTCGGGAACTGGACGTCCCGTAATTTCCACCAGGAACGTTTCTTTCTCTCCTGTTACTTTGCATCGACGTTCCACGATTCAAGCGACACGACACGATGCGAGACTCGCGTACGAACTCTGGGAAAATAGTACGTCGCGACGCACGTCGAGATTAGTACCCCCGATTCCTCCAGTACTCTCGACTACTCGTGTCTCTCCGCCTCGAGTAGTCTTTCGTTCTTTTTCAACGTCTGAGTGGAATCGTTAACGAGCCTCTGCGCCGAGCGGAATTGCCACGTGTTGGAAATTACAAGACGCAGAATTTGAGGGGCGCTTAATTTACCTGGCGTCGTCGAAAATTAGAAGCATCCGACCGGTCTTGAAAACTCTTGCGTCGTGTTCCTCGTTACAAAACGTGAATAATTCGTGGTTCTTCTTGCAAGACGCGATTGAAACACTTTAGAAACGAACGGTAAGCGCGACAATTAACAACTATTTAATTTTGTATGTCCAGATCAGGGCTTGAAAATTCTTATGATTTCGGTTTGGGTTCTTGAAAATATATAACACTAAGTGCGTCCGAACGAAAGGCCATTATCTCGGTAGAATCCGAAAGATATACAGTTCGGGGTAACGTGAACGAATCACTCGATGAAATTCCTCTCGCTGAAATGCTTGCCGAGCAAACGGCTCTACCGCCACAGTTTGCAAAACTAAACGAGCAAGCATGATAAATCGTTTGTTCCCAGTCATCCGTGTGCAGTGTCGTTAAACGGCCGAAAACGATCGAGTTGGGCGCAACTTCTTCCCCAGTCAGATTGGCCAGCCGTCTGCTTTCGCCTCGACCGAACGTCTCTGAATTATTGAAATCGAAATATATAATTGATAGAGTGCGCCCCGTAGCGGGAGGATCGATAGTACTCTCGGAAATGAGCCTGCACGGAGCAGTTTGAACCAGTTGGCGGAACGGTGCAACGCATTGCCTAACACGGGCTCTTTCGTTCTTCACACCGCCGCGTGCCACCTCGATGATTGTTATTCTAGCAACAGGTGCAACGTATTGCCGATTACGCAGTGACGGAAAGTTTTCGAATTCACCATTTTGGCACGGTTGTTTCGATTTAATCGCGAGCAAGTATTTGTACCTTGACTTGAAAGTGGACAGAGAGCTGCAATCGACAACAACAAGGACGAGGGAACAATACGAAAAATTTATATCGAAGACACTTCGCCTGGGCTGGATAGATGAACGAAAAAATTTTCGTTCCAACTGTTCGGGGAGGATAAAAACCGTCTGATATGGGGCGAAGGGTTAATTGCGATTTACGCGCGGCTACGTCACCCAGAAAGAGTTTTTGCGGATCGCCGGGTGACAATCTCGGCGCACGGGGATCCGTGCCAAACGCTCGTGTCGCCGGGCGTTCGTGTTCTTTTATTCGTGGTAATTAATACGAGGCGTCTCTCGCTCTTCCTCGTGGACCGTTTCGTTGCGTTTCGCGCACGCTCGTCGAGACGTCTGAATATTCACGATTTGATTAGTCTGTTTTTTTTTCTCGAGCGATTCTGACCTAGGGTGAGACAGTTGGCAGGCCGACTGGCGTGGAATCAACGAACCGAAAAACGTTTTAAACGATCCTCTGTGTTCGACGCCGTTCGGTTTCGCAAAAATGCTCTTGGATACTCTCCGTTTACCTATACCCACGTAGAATGGCTGTGGCTCGGTACGGCGCGATCAGTGGAATCGGTCGTTCAATGGTCAGACCGATGCACCGACCGAAATCCCGTCTAATTGAACGGTCGCGGAAATTGACCGTCCAACGCCTGGTCTTTGGTTTTGGAATGAGTCAACAAAGAGATGATAAATGAAACGACGACCCTATTCCTATTTCACAGAGATGTTCGTTTGTTTGGCAGACAATCCACGATTCCGATGACACGTCACGTGGTGCACGAACGCGATTTAATGTACATGTGATTCTGTTCGCATCGTAGGGCAACGGGACACGAGCATTCCCTTTCGAGAAGCATAGAGATTAGCGTCTATTCGTGGCAACTGGGACGGCACTTAAAAGTTTATTATGGCTCGTCGGTTATCGACGATACTTCTCGAGAGTTATTAATATCTTTCGGGGAAATCAATATGAAAGACGTGACGCCGCGCTATAACGGACATCCCCCCTTGAAAATTCTTCGTGAAAATCGATGTGCATGATTCTCGCGTTAACCTTCTCAGAAGTCGTTTAGTCAGCCACTACACTTTTCCTCCCTGCTACCTAATCTCTTTTTCTCACCGGGAGGAAAAATAAAACATCTTGACATTCATCGCTCGAACGACGCGGCTCCTTTATTCTTTATCCCGTCACCACCGCCTGAAACGCCGTCGCTCGTATCGCGGATAATCGACGCGAGCCAAGCGACAGGCTCGCGAAACAGGTGCAAGCTATCTGCACGGTTCATCGGGTGTTCTCAGCCACCTGGCGTTTCCACGCGACAAGGAATTTTCCCAGCCTCGATGCTGCCCGAAACGAACACCGCGCTTGCTGGCGGACGATAGATACCGCAACAATCGGCGCACGCGTACACACTTTACGAGCGAAAATCAAACATCGTTGCAACGTGGCGGCGCGCCTTGGCTTTATCCGGAGCTCATTCTTCACGGTCGTTCGCGTGGCTCGCGATACGATCGAGAAAACACCGTGCAGAGGAGAAGAGAAGAGAATTTTCGGACGTTCGAGAAACCAACGTGGTTTATTTTTTAAAATGGAATCGCAAGTCTCATTGTTCCTGACACGAATTACCGGATAGTATACCGTCATCGAAGTCCGATTCATCCTTGAAGCGGCTCCCACGCGATACGAGGCGTCCCGAATAGGGGTATCCGTTAACCCAAGACCGATCGGAACAAGTTATTCGTGGGATAGGCAGCAGAGGATAGGAAACCTCATTCCGTCCCAACAGCCTCCCTCGAACGACAGGAATGAAATCGGCGACCGGCTAAACACGCAGCCAGCTCGAGTGCGCCTGTACCACCGCCCTGGCTCGCTCGTTCACGAGGATTCGGAGCTGGCGCGCAGCCGAGTCACCGTTCTGCGCCACGCGCGCACTCTATCTCCTCGTGTTCGCGTTTTCTGTCCTCCTGCTGGTCCCAGCACGCTCGCCTACGTACCGTTCGCTGCGCGGCGATTTCTTCCACGCGAAGAGCAGTGCAGCCAACCGAAAGATCCCGAGGAACGCCGTCAGTCGAACCATAGTCGCGTGCAGGTTCCAATGTCAGCTGAGAAGAGGCTGGGAAACGGGGTTCTCCGGTGGAGCAACGTTTGGAACAGCGTGTCCGTGTCGTGTGACGGCAGTATAGGGCGTGTCTCCCGGCGCGGCCCAGGTCCGTCGCGACGACGATCGTTACCCGAAAAGCCGGCTAATGTCGCCCTCTAAATGCGCGAAAC